CCAAAGGAGGAGAGAATCCTATGTGAAGGAGGAAGTTAGTGGCCAGGAAGCATCGGAGCCCTTAGGAGGAAAGAAAATAGCTAATGGCCATGGAAGGGTTCCTCACCCTCCAGAGCTCCACCACCATGTGAGGCTAACACTCCAAACCCACACCCATCATCACGTTGAATGGAGCAGCTTCTTGACCCTGTGTGAGAGCAGAGAAGACATCGATAATGGTGAAAAGGAAGGGATTTTAGTATCAGGAAATGAGAAGAGATTAAGGGTATTTGTACATAGAAACTGCAGCTGAATTGAAATAAAGTAAACCACCAAATGCTTACTTTGTGTTTCGTTCAGTTGTTAAGAACTAAACATCACTTGTGAGTGATTCAAACCAGAGAGCGAAGTCTAGGAAGTCGTATTCATGTTGGGCTATATGTATATTTCTTTAAATTTTGTAGCACTGCTGTGTCTAAATTCAAACCAGTACCCTGGAATGGAGATAGCAGTGAACTGTGAGACAGAAGTAAACCAATATCGATATAAGGGTATACGAACATAGGTGGAAACAATTATATACCGTTTATATATATATATATTAAATCAAGGCATACACCCACAGGTACTGCAGGGAGACATAAAGGCTGAGATTAGGGAAGTTCACATTCAAGAGCATTAATGGCAATACAAAGCGCTTTGACACTTGTTTCCAAGTGACCTCACTATAGGATAGGAAGGTGCCTTTATGTCTTTTTTAATGAATTTAGATAAAAGACAACCACATCATAAGAGGAATGATTTTTCCTGCTAATCTGTTTGTTTGATACTCTGAGTAACAACTAAAACAAATTTTCAGGGCCAGGCACGGTGGCTAGCGCTTGTAATCCCAGGACTTTGGGAAGCTGAGATGGGTGGATCAAAAGGTTAGGAGTTTGAGACCAGCCCGGCCAAGATGGCGAAACCCTGTCTCTACTAAAAATATAAAAATTAGCCAGGTGTGGTGGCGGGCACCTGTAATCCCAGTTACTCAGGAGGCTGAGGCAGGAGAATGACTTGAACCCAGGAGACAGAGGTTGCAGTAAGCAGAGATCATGCCACTGCACTCTAGCCTGGGTGATAGAGCAAGACTTCATCTCAAAAAAAAAAAAAAAAAATTCAGACTGCCTATATGTGAGACTTACTACATTGGCTGAAGAGAGCAGAGAATCCTATTTGGAAACAGAAGGGATAGCAGGGGACAGAGAGTAATGAAAACTTAAGGGGAAAAGAAAAAGGGTAACAGCCCTAGAAATGTTTTCCACCCTTCAGAACTCTGCCACAATGGAGGGTGATGTTCCAAACTCCAAATACCATGATATCAGACTGTGCCCTTGACTCAGACCTGCAGTTACTTTATCCTGCTTGAGGAACAGGAGAGACGATCAGGTAAGGAGGTGTTAGAGGGCCATCAAAGCACGACATCGAGTAGAATACGAGGACTGACTACGTGCAAACTGGAGCTGAGTTTGAAATAACTGCCACAACAAAGGCTATCACACACTGGGACTGAGGGCATAATACAGAGGTTTTACTTAAATCAGGGAGCATTCATATTATCCCCAGCCTAAGATGTTGGTTGCCACCATATAAATCCTCATGTTTAATAAAAAAAAGTTACATTCTAGATTAAAATAGTTGAATACACATGAATAGTCAGAAATAAACTGGTTTATGTGCAGAGTCATGGAAGCAATGAAAGCTAGTTTTTCCAAAAAAGTAAATTTAGAATTATGTCTTCTGTCTAACTGTTCTTTTATCGTCCTCTAGTCCACACACAAATGAATTGAGAGGAGCAACCCAGGAGGTACCTATCAACGAAAGGTGAGTTATAAAAAGATAAAGACACACATATGCATAAGTGTGCATAGAACTTTACACACACAGGCACAGAAACAAATACATCCATCCATGCATCCATCCGCACAGACTTCTTTCAATACACCTACACAAACAAGCCCATACACGCAATGGAAACATAAAACAAGGAGACAGATGGACGTTTGTGGAATTTACTCTCAGGAGCCTGCATGGCCATACAGTGTTTTATAACAGGGTTTCCAATTCTTCTCATTGTAGCATTTGTAGATAACGTTGCATCTCTTTTTGTTGGAGTTATATTCAGAGGAGCAAGTCATAGGAGAACTGCTTCTTCCTGCTTCTGTATTTGTCACCCTTAGTTATTTCACAACAATTTTAAAAGAAATTCACCCACTAAAGGCTGTCATGTATTGGTCAGCTTCAGTGGTAGAGAGTGTTAGTTAAATCTTGAGTCAGTGAGTCTTGGATAGGTCTAAAATGTATGCTACAATCATATGTATGCTACAATGTATGATGTGTAGGGAATATGTCATGGCAGATTCCAAATAACCAAATACACACATGGCTTGTGTAAGGGTCAAGCCGTTTACAGGTTGAAAAGTAATTGGAACTATTTAGAACTGAAAACATTAAGTCTACAAAGTTGCATGTTGTCTAACTATGTATGTTTTAAATTCTTTTTTAGTATATGTGCTGCCGAAGCGAGCACAATGTTTTAAATTCTTTGACCCTGCCCTCTATGTGAATTGAAAGAGGATCTTCTGGTAGACTGGCCAATGTAGCATGTGATATAAAGGAATAAAATTATGCATAAATATGCATATATGAACACACATGTACATGCATCATACACAGCAAGATTGAGGTCCGGCTATTGACTGCCATGAACATACATAGGAACTAATAGCTCCCTTGAAACTATGTCAAGAGTCCTCTCAGGATCAGCTTCTGTACAAAATATTTTTTGTCTTTTGGATGGAGGTAGGAAAATGGGGAAGAACTCGTAGAGGGAGGCTTGCTATGTTAGCGTTTGCCGCCTGTTGTTTCTGTGGGAATGAGACTGCTCTAGTAGTGAGGACCAAAAAAGAAGCAAATCCTGCTTGGAGCCAGAGGAGATAGCAGTGGACAATAAACAGAGAAGCTAGCAGCAGAACAAAGAACAGAGCTAATAGCCTTGAAAGTATTTCTCAGCCTCCAGAGCCCTGCCACCGCGAGGCTGACTCCCCGGGCCTATACCCATCATGACATTGGATAGAGCCCTTGTTTGAGGCCAGCAGCCACTGGGCCCTGACTTTTGGGCAGGAAAGATAACTAAATGGGTGAAAAGTGAGGAGGTGATTGAGAGTGAGGAATTCAGATGGGATTATAAGAAGGGGACTTACAAACTAAAGTTGAACTGGAATTAACTGTACTTGGAAAAAGGTGTGACACATTGACGTGATGATACGTCACTTAATCTGGACGCATTGCTAAGTACAAAGCCGAAGATATTCACTGTTGATGTATAACACCTCATTTCTAATTGAAAAAATGCCATATCAGGTGAATTTAGTGATATACATACATGTGAATATTTAAACTGTAACCAGAGAATAACTCATAGAGTAACTAGCTATTTGATGCAAAACATTTAGAATTACACACAGTATCTGACTCTGACCATATTTGTCCTTTAGTCCCCATCTGAAGGAGCTGGCAGGAGTCATCACTGATAGTGCCACTGAAGACATGTGAGCTATAAAAGATGTACACACAAAAACACACACAAAACAATGACAGAGAAAGAGATTGAGATTAATGGGATTTACTCTGAGGAGTGTCCATGGCAGTACAGAGTGTCTTTGACACAGTTTCTTTATCTTCTCACTGTAGCATATATAGGTAAATGTCCACATTTTTATAGTTGTTTTGGAAAAAAGAGAAACAGAGTAAACAGGGAGGCTTCCATCTGTTACTGTCTTGTCACCCTGAGTAGCAGGTAAATGCCTTGGAAACTCAGATTTTCTGTGTATGAGCCATACTAGAGTGGGCCAAGAGAAGAGACATTCCTGTTTGCAGGAAGAAGGAGGTAGGAATAGTGAGGGTACTGTGAAGCCCTCAGCAGAGAGGATCAGAGCTAAGAGCCTTGGAGGTGTTCTTTACCCTACAGAACTCTACCACCATGGAGGCTGGTGCTGCAAACCTCAAATCACTGTCATGCTGGATTGTGTCCCTGTGTCAGACCTTTAGTTATTTGACCCTTTTTGAGGGTCAAGAGGGACCACCATGGTGGGTGAATGTAAGGAGCTAATGGAGGGTTTTGAAGCAGGACATTCAATGGAATAAGAGGGCTGACTACCTACAAACTGGAGCTGAGTTGGAAATAACTGCCACCACAAAGGGTGTCACACACTGGGACGGAGGTCTAATAAAGAGGTTTAGTTAAATCAGGAAGCATTACTATTTTCTCCAGCTTAAAATGTTGCAGCCATCAAAGAAATCCTCATTTCTAATTAAAAAATGACATTTCAGATCCAAACAGTGCTATATACATGAATAGTCAGAAATTATCCGGTTTATATGTAGAGTACTGAAAGCTAGTTTTGCCAGAAAAGTAAATTTAGAGTTGTGTCTCCTGTTTGACTGTGTCCTTTCATCATCCCTAGTTCACACACAAATGAATTGGCAGGAGCAAGTCAGGAGGCACCTACCAATGAAAGGTGAGTTATAATTAGAAGAATAAAGACATACATGTGCATAAGTGTGCATGGAACTGTACACACGCACAGGCACATAAATATATCCATCTGTCCATCTATCCGTGCATCCACCCATACACACTTCTGTCAACACACATCTACAAATAATCTCATGCACACAATGGAAACATAGAACAAGGAGACAGATGGACATTTGTTGAATTTACTCTCAGGAGACTGCATGGCCATAAAGAGTGTTTTAAACAGGGTTTCCAGTTGTTCACATTGTAGCATTTGTGGGTAACTTTGCATCTGTCTTTGATGGAGTTGTATAAAGAGGAGAGGTCATAGGAGAGTTGCTTCTTCCTGTTAGTTTATTTGTTACCCTTAGTTGATAGTAAGCAGTTTCTTCAGGGACTCAGATTTCCTGAGTTCAAGAGCCTAACAGAGTGGCCCTACCAGGGAGAGAATCCTATTTGCAACATGGGGATAGTGGCTGACAAGGGGCCAAGAAACCCTTGGCAGAAAAGAACAGAGCTAATGGAACGTGAACTTGTCTTCACCCTCCAGAGCTCTGTCCACATGTGAGGCTGGAGCCCAGAGCCAACCCCAAGTCCACCACCTCATTGGATGCTGCCTTTCCTTAAGCCCACAGCCACTTGCCTGTGTCTCATGGACAGAAAAGACTAGCGTGATGGGCCAAAGGAAGGAGGTGACAGAGGCATCCAGAAAGTGGGTCCTCAGATGGGATTCGCAGGCTGACTGCCTGCACAGTGGAGTTGAATTTAAAAGAAATTCACCCTCAAAAGGCTGCCAAGCATTGGTCATCTTCAGTGGTAGAGAATTCAGTTAAATCTTGAGTCATTGAGTCTCGGATAAGTGTAAAATGTGTGCTACAATTATGTAAAGTATGGTGTATAGGTAAAGTGGCATGGAGGATTCCAAATAACCAAATACACACCTAAATTTTGTAAGGATCAAGCAGCTCACAGGCTGAAAAGTAATTGGAACTATTTTTAACTGAAAACGTTAAGGCTGGGACGTTACATGTTGTCTTACTATGTATGTCTTAAGTTCTTTGGCACTGCCCTGTGTGTGAATTGAAAGGGTACCTTCTGGTTGACTGGACAATGCAACATATGAACTAAAGGAATACAGCTATACATGTATACATGCATATATGAACACACACATACATGCATTCATACATACAACATGCAGAGAGATTGAGATTCGGGCTATTCACTGTCACAAGCATCCACAGGAACAAGTAGTTCCCTTGAAACTATTTTTAGCATCTTCTCAGGATGAGCTTCGTGAAGAATATTCTTTTGTTTTTTGCAATAAGATAGGAAAACGTGGAAGAACTCATAGAGGGAGGCTTTAGTGTTTACCACCTTTCTTTTGTGTGGGAATGAGACTGTACTAGTAGTGTGAATCAAGAGACAAGTGAATCCTGCTTGGAACCAGAAGGCGATAGCAGTGGACAAAGGGGACACAGAACCCCTAGCAAAAAAAAAAACAAAAAACAAAAATAAACAGCCCAAATTACAAATAATAGCCCTGGAAGTATTCCCCCACCCTCCAGAACTCTGGCACTCTGTGAGGCTGACTGCTTGAGCCCATACCCATCATCACATGGGACGGAGCCCTTGCTTGAGGCCTGTGTCTACTTAACCTTAACTCTTGGGCAGGAAAGACTACTAGGATTGGTGAAATATGAGGAGGTAGTTGGAGGTGATTGAGAATGAGGAATTTAGATGGGATAATAAGAAGGGAGACTTACAAATGAAAGTTGAACTGTAATTAAATGTCCTTGATAAAGTCTGTTACAAATTTTGGTGACGTTACAGTCAATCTGGATGTGCTGCTATGTTCAGAGACTAAGATATTCACTCTTGGCATATAAAACCTCATATCTAAAGTAAAAAATTCCCATGCCAGGTCAATTTAGTGATTTACATATGAAGTTTTACTTTATTTTAGTTTAGTTTTACTCCAAAGTACTCTATTTTTTAACATTTCTTTGTTATTATTATTATACTTTAAGTTCTAGGGTACATGTGCAAAACGTGCAGGTTTGTTACATAGGTGTACGCGTGCCACGGTGGTTTGCCGCATCCATCGCCCCATCATCTACCTTAGGTATTTCTCCTAATGCTATCCCTACCCAATCTCTCCACCCCCTGCTAACCCCTCCCCTAATGTCCCCACCCCCCTGACGTGCCCTGGTGTGTGATGTTCCCCTTCCTGTGTCCATGTGTTCTCATTGTCCAACACCCACTTATGAGTGAGAGCATGCAGTGTTTGGTTTTCTGTTCTTGTGCCTGTTTGCTGAGAATGATGGTTTCCAGCTTCATTCATGTCCCTGCAAAGGACATGAATTCATCCTTTTTTATGGCTGCATAGTATCCTATGGTATATATGTGCCACATTTTCTTTATCCAGTCTATTTTTGATGGGCATCTGGATTGGTTCCCAGTCTTTGCTATTGTGAACAGTGCTGCAATAAACATACATGTGCATGTGTCTTTATAGTTGAATGTTTTACAATCTTTTGGGTATATACCCAGTAATGGGATTGCTGGGTCAAATAGTATTTCTATTTCTAGATCCTTGAGGAATTGCCACACTGTCTTCCACAATGGTTGAACTAATTTACACTCTGACCCTCCCACCAACAGTGTAGAAACTATGATTACAGTGAACTGGCAATCAACATAATGGGAAAAAATTTTTGTAATCTACCCATCTGACAAAGGCCTTAATAACCAGAATATACAAAGAACTTAAACAAATTTACAAGAAGAAAACAAATAACCCCATCAAAAAGTGGACAAAGGACACGAACAGACACTACTCAAAAGAAGACATTTATGCAGCCAACAAACATATGAAAATAAGGTCAGCATCACTGGTAATTAGAGAAATGCAAATCAAAACCACATTGAGATACCATCTCACACCAGTTAGAATGGTGATCATTAAAAAATTAGGAGATATGTGAACACTTAAAGTATAACCAGGGAATAACTCATAGAGTAACTGTAGCTTTTTGATGTAAAACATTTAGAATTACACATCGCGTCTGACTCTGAGCATATTTGTCCTTTAGTGCCCATCCGGATAAGCTGGCAGAAGACATTGTTGATAGAGCCACTGAAGACATGTGAGTTGTAAAAGATGTACACACAAACACACACACAAACAAAACAATGACAGAGAGACTGAGATTAGTGGGACTTAACTCTGAGGAGTGTCCATGGAAATACAGAGTGTCTTTGACACAGTTTCTTTATCTTCTCACTGTGGCAGGTACAGGCAAACTACCACATTTTTATAGTTGTTAAAAAAAAAAAGAAAAGAAAAGAGAGAAACACACTATAGAGGGAGGCTTCCCTGTGTTACTGTCTTGTCACCCTTAGTTAGGAGTAAGCAAATGCCTGGAAACTCAGATTTGCTGTGTATGAGACATACCAGAGTGGGCAGAGGGAGGAGAGAATCCTATTTGAAATGTGGGGGCGGTATGAGGAGTCACAGTAGGGTGAAGCCCTCAGCAGAAAGGAGCAGAGCTAAGAGCCTTGGAGGTGTTCTCCCCTCTCCACAGCTCTGCCACCATCAGGCTGGTGCTGCAAACCTCTAATCCCCATCATACTGGATGGTGCCCCTGTGTGAGACCTCTAGTAACCTGACCCTTTTTGAGGGGCAAGAGGGACAACCATGCTGGCTGAAATTAAGGAGCTAATGGAGGGTCTTTGAAGCAGGACATTCAATGGAATAAGAGGGCTGACTACCTACAAACTGGAGCTGAGTTGGAAATAACTGCCACCACAAAGGGTGTCACACACTGGGACTGAGGTCTAATAAAGAGGTTTAGTTAAATCGGGAAGCATTACTATTTTCCGTAGGTTGAGTTTTTGGTATCCATCATGTATATCCTCATTTCTAATAAAAAAAAAAGTTGACATTTCAGATCCAAACAGTGCCATATACATGAATAGTCAGAAATTATCCGGTTTATATGTAGAGTAATGAAAGGTAGTTTTGCCAGAAAAGTAAATTTAGAGTTGTGTCTCCTGTTTGACTGTGTCCTTTCATCATCCCTAGTTCACACACAAATGAATTGGCAGGAGCAAGTCAGGAGGCACCTACCAATGAAAGGTGAGTTATAATTAGAAGAATAAAGACATACATGTGCATAAGTGTGCATGGAACTGTACACACGCACAGGCACATAAATATATCCATCTGTCCATCTATCCGTGCATCCATCCATACACACTTCTGTCAACACACATCTACAAATAATCCCATGCACACAATGGAAACATAGAACAAGGAGATAGATGGGCATTTGTGGAATTTACTCTCAGGAGACTGCATGGCCGTAAAGAATGTTTTTAAACAGGGTTTCCAGTTGTTTGCATTGTAGCATTTGTGGGTAACTTTGCATCTGTCTTTGATGGAGTTGTATAAAGAGGAGAGGTCATAGGAGAGTTGCTTCTTCCTGTTAGTTTATTTGTTACCCTTAGTTGATAGTAAGCAGTTTCTTCAGGGACTCAGATTTTCTGAGTTCAAGAGCCTAACAGAGTGGCCCTACCAGGGAGAGAATCCTATTTGCCACATGGGGATAGCGGCTGACAAGGGGCCAAGAAACCCTTGGCAGAAAAGAACAGAGCTAATGGAATGTGGACTTGTCCCTCACCCTCCAGAGCTCTGTCCACATGTGAGGCTGGAGCCCAGAGCCAACCCCAAGTCCACCACCTCATTGGATGCTGCCTTTCCTTAAGCCCACAGCCACTTGCCTGTGTCTCATGGACAGAAAAGACTAGCGTGATGGGCCAAAGGAAGGAGGTGACGGAGGCATCCAGGAAGTGGGTCCTCAGATGTGATTAGCAGGCTGACTGCCTGCACAGTGGAGTTGAATTTAAAAGAAATTCACCCTCAAAAGGCTGCCAAGCATTGGTCATCTTCAGTGGTAGAGAATTCAGTTAAATCTTGAGTCATTGAGTCTCGAACAAGTGTAAAATGTGTGCTATAATTATGTAAAATATGGTGTAAATTATGTAAAGAACTGTAAGGATCAAGCAGTTCACAGGTTGAAAAGTAATTGGGACTATTTTTAACTGAAAACGTTAAGGCTGAGACATTACGTGTTGTCTTACTAAGTATGTTTTAAGTTCTTTGGCACTGCGCTGTGTGTGAATTGAAAGGATATCTTCTTGTTGACTAGTCAGTGCAACATATGAACTAAAGGAATACAATTATACAAGTAAAGATGTGTATATGAATACACACATACATGCATTCATATACACAATGTGTAGAGAGATTGAGATTTGGGCTATTCACTGTCACGAGCATCCATGGGAACAAGGAGTTCCCTTGAAACTGTTTTTAGTGTCTTCTCAGGGTGAGCTTTGTGAAAAATATTCTTCTGTTTTTAGAAAGAGGTAAGAAATGTGGACGAACTCATAGAGGGAGGCTTTTTATGTTAGTGTTGACTACCTTTCTTTTTTGTGGGAATCAGACTGTACTAGTAGAGTGGATCAAGGGAGAGGCGAATCCTGCTTGGAGCAGATGGAGACAGCAGTGGATAAAGGGCACAGAACCCCCAGAAAAAAAAAAACACACACACATACACAGAAGAGAGATAATAGCCCTGGAAGTATTCCCCCACCCTCCAGAGCTCTGGCACTATGTGAGGCTGACTGCCTGAGCCCGTACCCATCATCACATGGGATGGAGCCCTCGCTTGAGGCCTGTCGCTACTTGACCCTAACTCTTAGGAAGGAAAGACTAGGATGGCTGAAAAGTGAGGAGGTGTTTTGAGGTGATTGAGAATCAGGAATTCAGATGGGATTATAAGAAGGGGGACTTACAAATGAAAGTTGAACTGGAATTCAGTGCCTTCGAAAAGGCTGTTATACATTTTGGTGAAGATACAATCACTTGATCTGGATGCATTGCTATGTTCACTGCCTAAACTACTTACTGTTGGCATATAAAGCCTCGTTTCTAATTTTAAAAATGCCATACCAGGTCATTGTGGTGATATGCGTACATGTGACTATTTAAAGTGCAACCAGGGATAACTCATAGCGTAACTGTGACTATTTGATGCAAAATATTTAGAAATACACATTGTGTCTGATTCTGAACATGTTTGTCATTTAGTCCCCATCCAGATGAGCTGACAGGCATCGTCATTGGTAGAGCCACCGAAGACATGTGAGTTATAAAAGATGTACACACAAACAAAACAATGACAGAGAGAGAGATTGAGATTAGTGGGACTTACTCTGAGGAGTATCCATGGCAATACAGAGTGTTTTTGACACAGTTTCTTTATCTTTTTTTTTTTTTTTTGAGACGGAGTTTCACTCTTGTTACCCAGGCTGGTGTGCAATGGTGCGATCTTGGCTCACCGCAGCCTCTACTTCCTGGGTTCAGGCAATTTTCCTGCCTCAACCTCCTGAGTAGCTGGGATTACAGGCACATGCCACCATGCCCAGCTAATGTTTTGTATTTTTAGTAGAGATGGGATTTCACCATGTTGACCAGGATGGTCTCGATTTCTTGACCTCGTGATCCACCCGCCTCAGCCTCCCAAAGTGCTGGGATTACAGGCGTGAGCCACCGCACCCGGCTCTTTATCTTATCACTGTAGCAGGTATAGGTAAACTTCCTCATTTTTATGGTTGTTTTGGAAAAAAGAGAAACAAAATGTAGAGGGAGGGCTCCATCTGATACTGTCTTGTCACCCTCAGTTAGTAACAGGCAAATGGCTTGGAAATTCAGATTTTCTGTGTATGAGACATTCCGGAGTGGGCCGAGAGAAGACAGAATCCTGTTTGGAGTGAGGAGGAGGTAGGAGTAGTGATAGATGGATACTGTGAAGCCCTCAGCAGAAAGGAGCAGAGCGAAGAGCTTTGGAGGTGGAACTCTGCCACCACGGAGGCTGGTCCTCCACACCTCAAATCTCCAACATTGGATTGTGCCTTATGTTAGACCTCTAGTTATCTTACTCTTTCTGTGGGCAGGAGGGACCACTATGGTGGGTGAACATAAGGAGCTCATGGAGGGTCTTTGAAGCAGGACATTCAATGGAATAAGAGGGCTGACTACCTACAAACTGGAGTTGACTTTGAAATAACTGCCACCACAAAGGCTGTCACACGTTGGAACTGAGGTCATAATAATGAGATTTAGTTAAATCAGGAAGCATTACTATTTTTTCCAGCTTAAGATGTTGGTTGCCATCATATAAATCCTAGTTTCTAAATAATTTTAAAAAGGCATTTTATGTTCCAATAGTGCTATACACATGAATAGTTATAAATTAAGCGGTTTCTTTCTAGAGTAATGAAAGGTAATTTTTCCAAAATGTAAACTCAGAATTATGTCTTCTATCTGGCTGTATTATTTTATCATTTGCTAGTCCACAGACAAATGAATTTACAGGAGCAAACCAGGAGGCACCTGTGACTGAAAGGTGAGTTATAAATACTTAAATAATGAAACCTGTATGCATAAGTGTGCATAGAAAACTATACACACAATTGCATAAGCAAATATATCCATCTATCCATTCATACACACTGCTCTTCAACGTGCATACACAGATTCATGCACGCAGTGGAAACACAGAACAAGGAGACAGACGTTTGTGGAATTTACTTTCTAGAGCCTACATGGCCTTAGAGATTTTTTTTTTTTTTATTAAGAAGGTTTTCAGTTCTTCATATTGTAGCATTTGTAGGTAACTCTGCATCCTTCTTTAATGGAGTTATATAAAGAGGAGCAGGTAATAGGAGAGTTGCTTCTTCTTTTTTTCCCCCCATTTATTTTATTGCATTTTAGGTTTTGGGGTACATGTGAAGAACATGCAAAATTGTTGCACAGGTACACACGTGGCAGTGTGATTTGCTGCCTTCCTCCCCATCACCTACATCTGGCATTTCTCCCCTTGCTATCTCTCCCCAGCTCCCCACCCCCTCTGTCCCTCCCCTATTTCCCCCCAACTGACCCCAGTGTGTAGTGCTCCCCTCCCTGTGTCCATGTGTTCTCATTGTTCAACACCCGCCTATGAGTGAGAACATGCGGTGTTTGATCTTCTGCTCTTCTGTCAGTTTGCTGAGAATGATGGTTTCCAGGTTCATCCATGTCCCTACAAAGGACCCAAACTCATCGTTTTTGATGGCTGCATAATATTCCATGGTGTATATGTGCCACATTTTCCCTATCCAATCTATCGTCAATGGTCATTTGGGTTGGTTCCAGGTCTTTGCTATTGTAAACAGTGCTGCAATGAATATTCGTGTGCACGTGTCCTTATAGTAGAACGATTTGTAATCCTTTGGATATATACCCAGTAATGGGATTGCTGGGTCAAATGGTATTTCTATTTCTAGGTCCTTGAGGAATCGCCACACTGTCTTCCACAATGGTTGAACTAATTTACACTCCCACCAACAGTGTAAAAGTGTTCCTATTTCTCCACATCCTCTCCAGCATCTGCTGTCTCCAGACTTTTTAACAATTGCCATTCTAACTGGCGTGAGATGGTATCTCAATGTTGTTTTGATTTGCATTTCTCTGATGACCAGTGATGATGAGCATTTTTTCATATGTTTGTTGGCCTCATGTATGTCTTCTTTTGTAAAGTGTCTGTTCATATCCTTTGCCCACTTTTGAATGGGCTTGTTAGTTTTTTTCTTGTAAATCTGTTTTAGTTCTTTGTAAATCCTGGATATCAGCCTTTTGTCAGATGGGTAAACTGCAAAAATTTTTTCCCATTCTGTTGGTTGCCGATTCACTCTAATGACTGTTTCTTTTGCTGTGCAGAAGCTGTGGAGTTTGATTAGGTCCCATTTGTCTATTTTGGCTTTTGTTGTCAATGCTTTTGGTGTTTTGGTCATGAAGTCCTTGCCTACACCTATGTCCTGAATGGTTTTGCCTAGATTTTCTTCTAGGGTTTTTATGGTGTTAGGTCTTATGTTTAAGTCTTTAATCCATCTGGAGTTAATTTTAGTGTAAGGTGTCAGGAAGGGGTCCAGTTTCTGCTTTCTGCACATGGCTAGCCAGCTTTCCCAACACTGTTTATTGAACAGGGAATCCTTTCCCCATTGCTTGTTTTTGTCTGGTTTGTCAAAGATCAGATGGTTGTAGATGTGTTGCGTTGCTTCTGAGACCTCTGTTCTGTTCCATTGGTCTATATCTCTGTTTTGGTACCAGTACCACGCTGTTTTGATTACTGTAGCCTTGTAGTATAGTTTGAAGTCCTGTAGTGTGATGCCTCCTGCTTTGTTCTTTTTACTTAGAATTGACTTGGCTATGCGGGCTCTCTTTTGGTTCCATATGAAGTTTAAGGTGATTTTTTCCAGTTCTGCGAAGAAGGTCATTGGTAGCTTGATGGGGATAGCCTTGAATCTGTAAATTACTTTGGGCAGTATGGCCATTTTGACGATATTGATTCTTTCTAACCATGAACATGGAATGTTTCTCCATCTGTTTGTGTCCTCTCTTATTTCGTTGAGCAGTGACTTGTAGTTTTTCTTGAAGAGGTCCTTTACATTCCTTGTTAGTTGTATTCCTAGGTATTTTATTCTCTTTGTGGCAATTGTGAATAGAAGTTTGTTCTTGATTTGGCCTCTTTAAGTCTGTTATTGGTGTATAGGAATGCGTGTGATTTTTGCACATTGATTTTGTATCCTGAGACTTTGCTGAACTTGCTTATCAGTTTCAGGAGGTTTGGGGCTGAGACTATGGGGTCTTCCAGATATACAATCATGTCGTCTGCAAATAGAGACAATTTGACTTCCTCCTTTCCTATTTGAATGCCCTTTATTTCTTTTTCTTGCCTGATTGCTCTGGCTGGAACTTCTAATGCTATATTGAATAGCAGCAGTGAGAGAGGGCATCCTTGTCTGGTGCCAGATTTCAAGGGGAATGCTTCCAGTTTTTGCCCATTCAGTATGATATTGGCTGTTGGTTTGTCATAAATAGCTTTTATTATTTTAAGATAAGTTCCATCAATACCTAGCTTATTGAGGGTTTTTAGCATAAAGGGCTGTTGGATTTTGTCAAAGGCCTTCTCTGCATCAATTGAGATAATCATGTGGTTTTTGTCTTTGGTTCTGTTTATGTGGTGAATTATGTTTATAGACTTGCGTATGTTGAACCAGCCTTGCATCCCCGGGATGAAGCCTACTTGATCATGGTGGATAAGCTTTTTGATGTGCCGTTGCAATCGGCTTGTCAGTATTTTATTGAAGATTTTTGCATCTATGTTCATCATGGATATTGGCCCGAAGTTTTCTTTTCTTGTTGAGTCTCTGCCGGGTTTTGGAATCAGGATGATGTTGGTCTTATAAAATGATTTGGGAAGAATTCCCTCTTTTTGTATTGTTTGGAATAGTTTCAGAAGGAATGGTACCAGCTCCTCTTTGTATGTCTGGTAGAATTCGGCTGTGAACCTCTGGACCTGGGCTTTTTTTGGGTGGTAAGCTCTTAATTGCTACCTCAACTTCAGACCTTGTTATGGGTCTGTTCAGGGTTTCGGCTTCTTCCTGGTTTAGGCTTGGGAGGAGGTAAGTGTCCAGGAATTTATCCATTTCTTCCAGGTTTATTAGTTTGTGTGCATAGAGTTGTTTGTAATAATCTCTGATGATGGTTTGAATTTCTGTGGAATCTGTGGTGATATCCCCTTTATCGTTTTTTATTGCATCAATTTGGCTATTCTCTCTTTTCTTTTTTATTAATCTGGCTAGTGGTCTGTCTATTTTGTTGATCTTTTCAAAAAACCAGCTCCTGGATTTATTGATTTTTTGAAGGGTTTTTTGTGTCTCTATCTCCTTCAGTTCTGCTCTGATCTTAGCTATTTCTTGTCTTCTGTTAGACTTTGAGGTTTTTTTATCTTGCTCCTCTAGCTCTTTCAGTTTTGACGATAGGGTGTCAATTTTTGATCTCCCCTTGCTTCTCATGTGGGCACTTATTGCTATATATTTTCCTCTAGAGACTGCTTTAAATGTGTCCCAGAGTTTCTGGTATGTTGTGTCTTCATTCTCGTTGGTTTCAAAGAACATCTTTATTTCTGTCTTCATTTCATTGTTTATCCAGTCAACATTCAAGAGGAAGTTGTTCAGTTTCCATGAAGCTGTGCGGTTCTGGGTTAGTTTTTGAATTCTGAGTTCTAACTTGATTGCACTGTGGCCTGAGAGACTGTTTGTTATGATTTCCGTTCTTTTGCATTTGCTGAGGAGTGATTTGCTCCCAATTATGTGGTCAATTTTAGAGTAGGTGTGATGTGGTGCTGAGAAGAATGTATATTCTGTGGATTTGGGGTGGAGAGTTCTGTAAATGTCTATTAGGTTTGCTTGGTACAGGTCTGAGTTCAAGTCCTGGATATCCTTGTTAATTTTCTGTCTGGTTGATCTGTCTAATGTTGACAATGGGGTGTTAAAGTCTCCCACTATTATTGTGTGGGAGTCTAAGTCTCTTTGTAAGTCATTAAGAACTTGCCTTATGTATCTGGGTGCTCCTGTTTTGGTATATATTTGCGTATATATTTAGGATCGTTAGCTCTTCTTGTTGCATTGATCCTTTTACCATTATGTAATATCCTTCTTTGTCTCTTTTGATCTTTGTTGCTTTAAAGTCTAATTTATCAGAGATGAGAATTGCAACTCCTGCTTTTTTTTTGCTCTCCATTTGCTTGGTAAATCTTCCTCCATCCCTTTATTTTAAGCCTTTGTGTATCCTTGCATGTGAGATGGGTTTCCTGGATACAGCACACCAATGGGTTTTGGCTTTTTATCCAATTTGCCAGTCTGTGTCTTTTGATTGGGGCATTTAGTCCATTTACATTTAGGGTTAATATTCTTATGTGCGAATTTGATACTGCCATTTTGGTGCTAGCTGGGTGTTTTGCCCTTTAGTTGATGCAGATTCATCATTGCGTTGATTCTCTTTACCTTTTGGCATGTTTTTGGAGTGGCTGGTACTTGTTATTCCTTTATATGTGTAGAGACTCTTTCAGGAGCTCTTGTAAAGCTGGGCTGGTGGTGACGAATTCCCTGAGTACTTGCATGTTCGCAAAGGATTTTATTTTTCCTTCACTTATGAAGCTTAGTTTGGTTGGATAGGAGATTCTGGGTTGAAAGTTCTTTTCTTTAAGGATGTTGAATATTGGCCCCCACTCTCTTCTGGCTTGTAGGGTTTCTGCTGAGAGATCTGCTGTGAGTCTGATGGGCTTCCCTTTGTGGGTAACCCGACCTTTCTCTCTGGCTGCCCTTAGTATTTTCTCCTTCATTTCAACCCTGGTGAACCTGACAATTATGTGCCTTGGGGTTGCTCTTCTTGACAAATATCTTTGTGGTGTTCTCTGTATTTCCTGGACTTGAATGTTTGCCTGCCTTGCTAGGTTGGGGAAGTTTTCTTGGATAATATCCTGAAGAGTATTTTCCAGCTTGGATTCATTCTCTTCGTCGCATTCAGGTACACCTATCAAACATAGATTAGGTCTTTTCACGTAGTCCCACATTTCTTGGAGATTTTGTTCATTCCTTTTTACCCTTTTTTCTCCAGTCTTGCCTTCCCATTTTATTTCATTGAGTTGATCTTCCACCTCTGATATCCTTTCTTCTGCTTGGTCAATTCGGCTGTCGATACTTGTGCATGCTTCGCGAAGTTCTCGTGTTGCGTTTTTCAGCTCCATCAATTCACTTATATTCCTTTCTATTTTGTCCATTCTCATTAGCATTTCATCAAATCTTTTTTCAAGGTTCTTAGTTTCTTTGCATTTGGTTAGAACATGTTCTTTAAGTTCACAGAAGTTTCTTACTACCCACCTTCTGAAGTCTGATTCTGTCATTTCATCACACTCGTTCTCCATCCAACCTTGTTCCCTTGCTGGTGAGGAGTTGTGATCCCTTGTAGGAGGAAAGGTATTCTGGTTTCGGGTGTTTTCATCCTTTTTGTGCTGGTTTCTTCCCATCTTTAAGGATTTATCCACCTGTCAACTTTGTAGTTGCTGGCTTTCAGATTGGGTCTCAAATCTTTCAGATTGACGTTCTGTTTGTTGATGATGAGGTTATTTCTGTTTCTTGGTTTTCCTTCTGACAGTCTGGCCCCTCTGCTCTAGGTCTGCCAAGGTTCACTCCAGGCCCTGCTTGCCTGGAGTTCACCTGCAGCAGCTGCTGAACAGTAAGGGTTGTTACCAGTTTTCTTCTTCTGCTATCTTTGTCCCAGATGGATACCCGCCTAGTGTCAATCTGATCTCTCCTTTATGAGGTGGCTCTTTGGATATATAGGGGTCAGGGAGCTGCTTGAGGAGACGGTCTCTTCTTTATAGGAGCTCAAATGGTGTGCTGTGAGCTCTGTTGTTCATTCAGAGTTGCTGGGCAGGTACGTTTAGGTCTGCTGCAGCAGAACTCATAAACTGCTTTTTGTTCCCAGGTGCTCTGTCCCAGGGCTAAATCCCTGGGACTTTACGAGTTTCAGTTATGCTGCTGCCTTCTCTTTTTTTTTTTTTTTTTTTTCCTTCAGAGCTGCCCTGCCCAGACAGGAGGCAGCCTAGTCACTGTCTGCCTGTAGAGGCTTTGCTGAGCTGCTGTGGGCTCCGCCCAGCTGCCGAGTGAACTTCCCTGCAGTCCTGTTTATATGGGTGTAGTTAGAACTGCCTTGGTGATGGTGGCCTGCCTCTGTTGAGGCGTAGTCTCTCTGCAGTGGTGGGCTGCCTTGGGAACAGCAGGCTGCCTCAGCAATGGCGGGCTGCCTTGGCAACGGCGGGATGCCTCGGTAACGGCGGACGCCCCTCCCCCACAGAGCTGGACCCTCCGGGTTCAGCTGCGCTTGCTGTGAAAGTCTCAATCCAGAGTTTCTGGGTGCTGTTCTTTTGTGGGGGTGGGACCAGCTGAGCCTGATCGCCTGGCTCCCTGCCTCAGAGCCTTTTTAAAGTTTGTGTTCCAGTCGCCTGTTGAAGAGGCCCAAGGGTCTGTTTGTTTTCCCCTGCAGCCACTCACTGTGCTGGCTTAAACAGCGGCACTGAGGTTTGTGGAGCTTTTTTTTTTTTTTTTTTTGCCCTGGAATCTACTGTCCTGGTTCTCTGCTCAGTCCCCTTTTTAAACAGACGAATGGGCGACTTCCCGTGGCTCCAATCGCCAGCCAAAAGCGCACCTGGACTGGTGTATTTTGTATGGAGAACCGCGGCTCCGGGGCGCCGACAAAGCAGCCGTGCGGGGAAAAGCAGTGACACCGGCCGGCACAGCCGCGCTGGCCGAAACAGCCATGCTGGTGACCTGTGGAGCTCCTCCACCTGGGAATTTCCTAGTCTGTGGGCTATAAAAACGTGGCGTCCACACACCCTCTGCGCTTTCACTGGGAGCTGCAATCCTGAGCTGTTCCTAAACGGCCATCTTGGATCCTCCTTCGCTTCTTCTTAGTGTGTTTGTCACCCTTAGTTCCTAGTAAGTAGTTTTTTATGGGACTCAGATTTCCTGAGTTTGAAACCCTACCAGATTGGCCCAGGGCAGGAGAGAATCCTATTTGTAACATGGAGGAGATAGTGGCCAACAAAGAGAAGGGAAGCCCTGGGCAAAAAAGAATGGAGCTAATGGAACATGCACTTGTCCTTCACCCGTCATAGCTCTGTCCACCTATGAGGTTGGTGTCCAGATCCAACCCCAAACCCACCATCTCACTGGATGCCGCCCTTCCTTAGGCCCATAGCTACTTGCCTGTGTCTCATGGACAGGACAGACTAGCATGATGGGAGAAAGAAAGGAGGTGATGGAGGCATCCAGGAAGTGGTCTTCAGATGGGGTTAGCAGGCTGACCACTTGCACAGTGGAGCTGAATTTAAAAGAAATTCAACCTCAAAAGGCTGCCACACATTGGTCAGCTGCAGTGATAAAAAAAATTGTAGTTGAGTCAGTGAGTCTTGGATAGGTGTGAAATGTGTGCTACAATAGTATAAATTATCATATGTAGAGAAAAATGGCATGGCAGATTCCAGTTAACCAAATACGCACATGAACTCTGTAAGGATCAAGCAGTTTACATGTTGAAATGTAATTGGAACTATTTTGAACTAAAACGTTAATCTAAGTTACTTGTTGTCTTACTATATATGTTTTAAATTCCTCAGCACTGCCCTGTGTGTCAATTTTAAGAGTGTCTTCTGGTCAGCTGGCCAATGCAACATGTGATATAAAGGAATACAATTATCAATACATGTATGGATGCATATATGAACACACACACATATATGCATTCATACATACAGTGTCTGCAGACAATTGAGATTTGGGCTATTCATTGTCACAGGCATCCACGGAAACAGGGAGTTCCCTTGAAACTATTTCTAGAGTCCTCTCTGTACGAGATTCTCTAGGGAATATTCTTTTGTCTTTTGGATGGAGATAGGAAAATGGCAAAGAACTCACAGAGGGAGGCTTTTTATGTTAGTGTTCGTCACCTTTCATTTCTGTGGGAATGAGACTGTACTAGTAGTGTGGACCAAGGGAGAAGCGAATCCTTCTTAGAATGAGGAGGAGATAACAGTGGACAATTAGCAGAGACACCCCTGGTGAAAAAAAAAAAAAAAAGAAAAAAGAAAAAAACGAAACCCATACATAGCTAATAACCTTGGAAGTATTTTTCACCCTCCAGAACTCTGCCACTATGTGAGGCTAACTCTCTGAGCCAATATCCATCATCATATTGGGTGGAGTCCTTGCTTGAGGCCTGGAGCTACTTGGCCCTAACTCTTGGGCAGGAAAGACAACTAGGATTGGTGAAAAGTGAGATGTGATTGGAGGTGATTGAAAATGAGGAATTTAGATGGGATTATAAGAAAGAGGACTTACAAACTAAAGTTGAACTATAATGAAATGCCCTCTAAAAATGCTGTTACACATTGAAGTGAAGATACAGTCACTTAATCTGGATGCATTGCTAAGTTCATAGCCTGAAATATTTACTGTTGGCATACAAAACCTCATTTCTAATTAAAAATGCCATACCAGGTTCAATTAGTGATATACAGCCACGTGAATGTTTAAAGTGTAACCAGGGAGTAACTCATAGAGTAATTGTAGCTATTTGACACAAAACGTTTAGAATTCCGCATGGTGTCTGGCGCTGACCATATTTGTTCTTTAGGCCTGATCCACACGACCTGGATGGAGCCATCACAGATACAGTCACTGATGAAATGTGAGTTATAAAAGATGCACACACAAACATGCACTCAAACAAAACAACGACAGAGAAAGAGATTGAGATTTGTGGGATCTACACCCAGGAGTATCCATGGCAATATAGAGTATCTTAGATACAGTTTCTTAACCTTCTCACTGTAGAAGCTTTAGGAAAACTTACACATTTTTACAGTTGTTTTTGGATAAAAGAGGAACAGGCTATAGAGAAAGGCCTCCGTCTGTTACTCTGTTGTCACCCTTAGTTAATAGCAGGCATATCAGATTTGTCCAAGGGAGGAGAGAATCCTATTTGGAGAAAGAGGAGGTAGAAGTAGTCAGGGCACTATGAAGCCCTAAGCAGAAAGGATCAGAGCTAAGAGCCTTGGAGGTGTTCTCCAATCCCCAGAACTCTGCCATCATGAAGGCTGGTGCACCAAACCACAAATCATCGTCATATTAGATTTTGCCCCTGTGTCAGACCTCTAGTTACTTGACCCTTTCTGTGGGGCAAGAGAGACTACCATGGTAGGTGAAAGTAAGGGCCTTTGAAGCAGGACATTCAATGGAATAAGAGGGCTGACTACCTACAAACTGGAGTTGACTTTGAAATAACTGCCACCATCAAGACTGTCACACATTGGGAGTGAGGTCATAATAAAGAGGTTTGGTTAAGTCTGGAAGTATTACTATTTTTTCCAGTCTAAGATGTTGATTGCCATCATATAAATCCTCATTTCTAATAAAAAAAAAAGTCATTCCAGCTTCCAATAGTTGTACGCATGTGAATACTCAGAAATTAATCAGTTTCTGTCTAGAGTAATAAAAGCTAATTTTTCAAAAAAAGAAAAAAATGTAAATTTAAAATTGTGTCCCCTGTCTGACTGTATTCTCTTATCATCCTCTAGTCCACACACAAGTAAATTGGCAGGAGCAACCCAGGAGCATCCAGGTACCAGGAAAAGGTGAGTTATAAATAGATAAAGACACGTGTGCATTAAGTGTGCATAGAACTATATATGCATACACACAGGCACATAAACAAATGTATCCATCCATCCGTCTTACCCATCCATCCATACTTCTCTCAACACACGTACACAAACAACCCAACACACAAAGGAACCATAAAGCAAGGAGACAGATGGACATTTGTGGAATTTACTCTCTGGAGCCTGCATGGCTATACAGAGTGTTTTTGAACAGGGTTTCCAATTCGTTTCATTGTAGCGTTTGTAGGTAACTTTGCATCCTTTTTTGATGGAGTTGCTTCTTCCTGTTGGTATATTCGTCACCCTTAGTTCCTAGTAAAAGTGACAAATATATACATTTTTCCTGGAAAAATTTATATAAATTCAACTTCAGTTTGTAAATACCCACCTTGCTTGCCCTTGTAATTTTCTGCCTTCTCACGTTCAAATACCGCCAATAACTCTTCACCAATCATGGATGTCTTTCCTGCCCCTCAGATAGGGTTGAGTAACTACAGACCTAAGGCAGGGGCTCCATCCCATCTGATGGTGGGTTTGCCTTTGAGGCAGTAGTTTTTTTAAGATACACAGTTTTTTAAGGGACTCAGGTTTCCTGAGTTTGAGACCCTACCAGAGAGTTCCAAGGGAGGAGAGAATCCTATTTGCAACATGGAGGAGATAGCAGCCCACAAGGAGCAGTGAAGCCCTGGGCAGAAAAGAATGGAGCTAATGGAACATGGACTTGTCCCACGGCCTTGAGAACTCTGTCCACATATGAGTTGGTGCCCAGACTCAACCCAAACCCACCACCTCATTGGATGCCGCTCTTCCTTAGGCGTGCAGGTGCTTTTCACTGTTTCTGATGGGCGGGAAAGACCAACACGATCAGTGAAAGGAAGGAGGTCATGGAGGGTTTTCCCAGTCATGTGAAAACCTCTCCTGGAAATAAATCGTAAAGGTATAAGTAAATGGAAAACCTGATATGCTCAAGAAAATTTGCAAAATGAATGAGATTTTACAGAAGTTATAAAAGGATTGTGTTTAATCAGTGGCTGATTAAGGAAACATCAAGGTGAGAATTCTGGTTGTTGCTTGTTAAGTAGTAGTATGTGAGTTTTATATGTAGAATTGATATTTTAAGCCAGCAAATAAATTTTTTAAAAAATTTTATTGTATAGGACATTGGATACATGGGTAAATTAAAATGTATTTCTAATATGTACCTAGGTTTAATTTATATATATGTAGTTTATTCTCTGATTAATTAGCCATTGATAAATGAGTCTTTGATAATTGTTGACTTTACCTACTGGATTATATGGTAGGATTTACATATCCTCACTTATTTTATATATATATATATATATATATATATGTATGTATGTATTTAATATTTACAGAAAACCTACTCCTTTTGGTGCAAAAAAAGTGTATTTGCTAATAGTGTCAAAGAAGAGAAATTCATTATATGTCTATGTACCTTTTTATTCCATCAGCCCTGCTTTCAGTGAAATAACAGTAACTCATGAAGGGACCTTCAATAAAATATGAGATTTAAGTAAATAAAAAGCTAAATGTAAACACACATATGTAATACACACATAGGCAGACACACACAAAAGCATACATACATTCAGATTTGGTAAGTTCGTGTCTCCTGCATTGTTATGGAGCATCCATAACAATATAGAGTCTTAGACACTGTTTTCTAAAGTCTTATTACTGTAGTATCTACAGTTACCTTTCTAGCTTTCTTCGATCTAGTTGGATAAAAGAGGAACAGTTCTTAGGAGGAATGCTTCTTGTTCCTATTCCATTGGTCACTCTTATTTAGCAGCACCCAAAAAACTTAGGAAAATATGAGAATGTGTGTATTGTAAGACACCCTACTAGAGTGAGCCAAGAGAGGCGACAGTCCTATTTGTAGCAAGGAGGAGGTAACAGTGGGCAGGGAGCTAAGGACCTCTCAACAGAAAAGAACAAAGCTAATAGACCTCTGGTCTCTCCCTCTGTTACCACATGAGGTTACTGCCCCAAAGGCAAACCCACCATAAGATGGGATGGAGCCCCTGCCTTAGGTCTGTAGTTACTTAACCCTATCTGAGGGGCAGAAAAGACATCCATGATTGGTGAAGAGTTATTGGTGGTATTTGAATGTGAGAAGGCAGAAAATTACAAGGGCAAGCAAGGTGGGTGGGTATTTATAAACTGAAGTTGAATTTGTATAAATTTTGCCAGAAATGGTAACTTGGAGATTAGGTAGGTTTAGGAGTAAAGAAATGTACATAAACTTGATTCATTAAGTTTTTTTTATAGGCCAAAGAATTTCATTACAAACATCTAAAACCTCATTTCTAGAGAAAAATTAAATACCAGGTTTCAAATAAATAATGTCAATTTTTTAGGATAACTAGATTATAAATTGTAGAGTATTGCTAATTTGTATCAGAAAATTAAGTCTAGGATGACATGTGGAGTCTTGCTATGCTCATTTTTAATCCCATAGCTATTACGCCATTGAATTAAAAAGAGTAATCTGTGGTAGGGTCATCGACGACAGGTGAGATTTCAACATATGGAGAGAAAGAGGAGAGGGATATATTAAGATTGGTAAAATTCACTCACAAATGAAATAATAAAGAACCGCGCTTAAATTTTGATTAATTAGGCTGTTTGTTAAGGCCCAAGAGTGTCTTTACATAATATAAGGTTTTCTTCTAGGAAAAATGATATGTTAATATTAGATTCCAAACAATGGACATATACATTTTCAGAGTTCAACCAGTTTATAAATGTAGAGCAATTGTACATAACTTCAACCAGAAAAGTATGTCTCTGAAGTCACTTGATCTGACATGTACATTTTTAATCCTTAGCATTGGCCTGGATAAAATGACCTCAGTAGTCTTTCACTACTTTGATATATCTTTGATATAACTCACCTTTCTTTTTTTTTTTTTTTTTTTTGAGACGGAGTTTCACTCATGTTACCCAGGCTGGAGTGCAATGGCACGATCTCGGCTCACCACAACTTCCGCCTCCTGGGTTCAGGCAATTCTCCTGCCTCAGCCTCCTGAGGAGTAGCTGGGATTACAGGCACGCGCCACCATGCCCAGCTAATTTTTTGTATTTTTAGTAGAGACGGGGTTTCACCATGTTGACCAGGATGGTCTCGATCTCTTGACCTCGTCATCCACCCGCCTCGGCCTCCCAAAGTGCTGGGATTATAGGCTTGAGCCAATAACTCACCTTTCTATAGTGGCGTCATTGATAACTACTGACGTTATTAATTTCTGTCAGTTCTAAAGGATGTATCTATCCCCACACACATATATATACACATATATATATGTGTATATATATATATACACAGATATACCCTTTAGCTATATATATTTAGTATATATAATATATAAATATGTATGTATATATACACATATTTATATACATATATATGCATATCTATATATAAGTATATAGATATATTCTTTAGCACTGACCCAAATTAATAACATCAGTAATTATATATATATCCTTTAACATATATATGAGCATGTATATATAAACACATGTGTATATCCTTTAGCACATATATGTGTATATATACACATATAGTTTATGTATATATACAGATGTGTGTATACAGGTATATCTTATTTTATTATGCTTTACTTAATGCCCTTCAGATATTACTTTTTTATAAACTGAAGGTTTGTAGCAACCCTGCATTGAGCAAGTCTCCTGCTTTTATTTTTCTAACAGCATGTGCTGACTTTGTGTCTCTGTGTCACATTTTGGTAATTCTTGCAATATTTCAGACTTTTTTACTGTTATCCTGTCTGTGTTGGTGATCTGTGATCAGTGATCTTCGATGTTACTGTTGTAATTGTTCTGGGCCAACACGAACCATGCCCATCTTAAGATAACAAACCTAATCAATGCTATGCCTGTTCTGACTGCTGCACGGACTAGCCATTCTCCCACTCCCTCCCTCTCCTTGGGCCTCCCTATTCCCTGAGGCACAGCAGTACTGAAAGCAGGCCATTTAATAAGCCTGTGATGGTCTCTAAGTGTCCTAGTGAAAGGAAGAGTCACATGTCTCTCATTTTAAACCAAAAGCTAGAAATGATTGTGAGGAAGGCTAGACTTCTTACAGCAGTCAGCCAAGTTGTGAATGTAAAACAAAAACAAAACAAAACAAGCCAAAAAACTTATTGAAGAAAATTAAGACTGCTACTCCAGTGAACATACAAATGATGAGAAAGCCAAACCGTCTGATTGCTAATACGGAGAATGGTTTAGTGGTCTGGATAGGAGATCACATCAGCCACAGGATTCCCTTAAGCCAAAGCCTAATCCAGGACAAGGCCCTTACTCTGTTCAATTCAGTGATGGCTGAGAGAGGTCAGGGAGCGCAGAAGGAAAGCTTGAAGCTAACAGGTTGGTTCATGAGGTTTAAGGAAAGAAGCCATCTCCATAACGTAAAAGTGGAAGGTGAAACAGCAAGTGCTGATGCAGAAGCAGCAGCAGGTTATCCAGAAGATCTAGCTGAGATAACTGATGAAGCTGGCCACACCAAACAACAGATTTTCAATGTAGACCAGATAACCTTTTATTGGAAGAAGATGCCATCTAGGACTTTTATATTTAGAGAGGAGAAGTCAATGCATGGTTTCAAAGCTTCAAAGCATAGGCCGATTTTCTTGTTAGGGTCTAATGAAGCTGGTGACTTTAGGTTGAAGCCAATGGTCATTGACTATTCTGAAAATTCTAGGGTCCTTACGAATTATGCTCAATCAAGCAAGATGGGTGACTAGAGATGCCTGGTGCTCATCTCCCCTTCAAGAATGAACCTAGGCAACAAATACACATCTAAGATCTGATTAGAGTATCAGACGGATAGTCCTGGAGTGCAGCAAAGGAGTGGAGACACACCTGTGGTTACTGGAAGTCCCCACAGCATGGAAGCACTCAGCCTCTGCAGCCCCTTCTCCCTCACCTGGATTGAATTGACCCAGAGACAGGAGGGACTTCTCATTGCAGGGTAAAGGTAAGCAGAAGATCCCCACCAGCCCCATTGCCATCACAAACACAAAGTCTTTACAACAGGAGAATCTCACAGTCTTTGCAAACCCTGAGGCTGATTTGGAGTATGCCAAGAATTTACACAGCTGCATGTCTTGGACTAGCAGTACAAGGTGAAGACGTCCCATCCGTAGGGATCTAAGCTCTAGCAGCACAGCTTAGAGACCAGAGTCATCTCTTGAATGTGTCCTCCTCTGGGGACCAGCAGCCACAGCACCTCTCCAGCACTGGAGCTTTATCTTCAGTACACCAAGCCGACATGGGTGGGTTAAAGCCACAACCCCGGCTGTGTGGAGGTTGGTCCCAGGATTGGCTGTAGCTCAAGTCCTGCAGAGCAGGAAAATCAACCCCACCAACACACGTCAAAACAGGAGTAGTCTGCGGTCCCACGCTTGAGCCAGCCAAAGCACTACATACCCTCTCCCAAATGAGAGAGGCCCCTCAGCCTCTGAGCAGCTGATACACCCCAAGGCCAACAGAGTGACTGTGAACCCGTGCTCAGGACCTGAGAGACAGCCCTGCAGGCTCCATCCACCACAGACATGCTCCTGGCCTGCCCAGCAGCCCTCTGCCTTAAGTGCTTGAGAAACAGTCCCACTGGCTGCCCCCAGCAGGCACACCACTGAGTGGGCCTCGCACCTGTGTGTGCCCAAGTCTCAGGGCCAAGAAACAACCCTGGGAGCTTACTCTGGCCAGCTTACCCTCAGATCAACTAAGCGGTCACACACCTATGTCCCAGCATACCCTCAGGCCAAATAAGCAGTCTCATACCTATGTCCCAGCTTGAGGAACAGCCCTGTAGACTGAAAGCCCTGTTGCATGAGCTTGAGAAACAGTCCTGTATCCATTCCCAGCAGAGGCACCTCCAGACCAGCCAATCGGCCATGAATGCCCATGTTCTGGACTTGAGAAGGAGACCCATGGGCTACTCCCAAAAGGCCTGCCCCTAGGCCAGCCAAGCAGCCTTATGCCCAGATCCTGGGTCATAGAAGCAGTCCCCTGGGTTTCCTTTAGCAGGCACCAGCTGAGCAGCAGTGTGCCTACATCCTGAACTAGAAGAGCCCTGTGGACTACCGCCAGCAGACACACACCCAGGATGGCTGAGAAGTCATTTGACTGTAACCCAGGCCTGAGGAACACACCTTCTTGGCCAGCCCTGGCAAAGATACCTGCAGTCCAGCTTAGCAGCCATGCAGCTATATATTTGGCCCATGAGTTTCCCCTAGCAGACTGGCTCCGGGCCAGATGAGCAGCTGTGTACCCACATACCAGGCATGGGAAACAGCCCGTCAGGCCACTCCTGGAGTGCAGATTTCCAAGCCAGGCAAACAGCCGTATGCCTGCATCCTGGGCCTGAGAAACTACCCTGCAGGCTACATCTGGCAGGCATGGCCTGGTTGAGCAACTGTATTCCCATGCTTCTAGCCAGAGTAACAGTACCATGGCCAGCCCCATGAAGCTGACCAAGTTTTCTGACCCACTCTATGCCTGCAGACACCCCTACCCTGAGAAACAGCCCAGTGAGCCCACCTGGCAAATCTGTACCACCATCACCACCAACTTCCTTGTCTTAGGCCACTGAGAAACTTGCAGGTGTTACTAGTGTGGACCACAGCTGAATAAGCTACATGGAGACTACACTTACTGCATCCATGTAGAGCCAAGGTCAATATACCCCAATGAACTGACACCCAAGACCCATTCATACAAATAAATTCATATAAGTAAACCTCCGTAACATTGGAAAAGGTGACTTTTTCACCAGATGTGTAGAAATCAACATAGAAACATATCAATCATGAAAATGCAAGAAAACATGTCACCCTCAATTGGAAATAGCAAATTTTTTTTCACTCTTCAAGGTTTATTGGGGGGTTTAGTTGGTGTAGCACTTGGATAGTTGGTTGCATTGTTTATATGTAGATCTTTTTACATTATATGGTAATGTACACTACTGATACATATAGTTCACAAAACAAGATCCTTTGGAACAATTATGCAGAAGACATGCAATACTGGATTTATACACTAGATCCTAGGATGTGACTGACTGGGAAAAAATATTGGACTAGGTATGTTCAGTGAAGGAGCCAGGAAGTTATATAACACACAGTAAACATCCATCTGGCTCAAGGGGCAACTGCAGCATATGCAGCATTGTCAATGGTGCCTCAGAGATAACCAGTTTAGGACTACACAAGATTAGTACCATCCAGCTTCAGGATGTAGCTGTAGGATTTTACAAACCATTCCTATTTTTAACTTCAGGAATTGATGTTTTTCCCAGTCCATCATAAAATATGATTGCTTTCATCACAGATCAGATAAAAAGGACAACACGCACAACCTCCAGCTAAAATCCTGTTGTAGCCTTGACAGTAAAATGGTATGACATCAGAAGACTTTAAAATTGCAGCTCTTTTTGGATCTCCCAAAGTGTATTGGCACTCTTCTTCAAACGGGCCTCTTCCTCAGGAGTCAGAGTCACCTTCACAAGGTGTGAGATTCCATTCTGTCCCAAAATGCAAGGAACACTAAGGAACACATCATACTTTATTCCATACAGACTCCTAATCATGGTGGAAATTGGGTGCATCTGCCTAAGATTCTTCATTATACTCTCTGCCAAATTGCCACAGAGAGTATAGTGGCCCCAGATGTGTAATCTTTAAGTTTGATCACCTTGTAAGCACTTTGAACCATCTGCTTGTGAACTGCTTTCCACTGTTCCTTATCTGTGTGTGTCCCTAAATCTGGATATAGAGTCTTCAGGAGATACCAGCAACATTCACTGCACTCCATATAGGCACACTGGAATCTCCATGTTCCCTGAGGACCCACCCATGACAGCTTAATGGGTGAACTCTGGGCTGAATCTAGATTGCAACCACTTCCAATAATATGGTTTTTGGGAAAGACACTTATCTTCCAAGCCACCTAGGTCAAGATATTCACTGGATTTGAAACAATAAGCAACTTGCAGTTTGAGCTGTATTTTACAACGTTAGGAATGATGAAATTAAAGATGTTCACGTTACACTGGACCAAATTAAGATGGCTTTCTCCCTCTTGTTGATGTGTCCCAGCCATGATAATAACCAGCTTAGAGTTTGCAGTTACATTATAGTCTTTCCCAGAGACAATCTTTGGTGTTCTAAGGAAAAGGCTGTCATGTTGGAGATCTATCATCTCTTCCTTCAATTTGTCTTCCATGACACCAACAAGAGCAAGTTTGTCTGCCAAGTCCTTCATTAAGATACTCATGGAGGCCGGGCACGGTGGCTCATGCCTGTAATCCCAGCACTTTGGGAGGCCAAGGTGGGTTGATCACGAGGTCAAGAGATCAAGACCACCCTGGTCAACATGGTGAAACCCCGTCTCTACTAAAAATACAAAAAATTAGCTGGGCATGGTGGTGCGTGCCTGTAATCCCAGCTACTCAGGAGGCTGAGGCAAGAGAATTGCCTGAACCCAGGAGGCGGAGGTTGTGGTGAGCCTAGACTGCGCCATTGCACTCCAGCCTGGGTAACAAGAGCGAAACTCCGTCTCAAAAAAAAAAAAAGATACTGATGGCACAGGACATTCCAACAGCACCAACCTCAACAACTGTAATCTTGTTCTGGGGGATCTGTTCTTCCCTTAGAAGATTATGAATCAGCTGATGCTTGAGACTTGCCATTTTGGACTGGGAGCCAAAAGGAATCAGGAGTGCATGGCAGTCGGAAAGTAATAATTATTTATCCAGTAATATACCCCAATCTTAAACATATAAAATGCCATAAAAAGAATTCAAAAGAATAATCTTAAGGAAACTCAGTGAGGTATAAGGTTAATACAGATAGACAAGTCAGTGAAATCAGGAAAACATGATTTGAATGAGAAATTCAGTAAAGATACAGATATCACAAAAAGAGCCAGACAGAAATCCTAAGAGCTAAACAGCTAATGGATGAAATGAAAAATACAATCATTGGCTTTACAGACAAAAACAAGCAGAAGAAACGATTTCTGAACTTGAAGACAAGTCTTTGAAATAACACAAGCAGACAAAAAAGAGTGAAAAAAGCCTACAGGATTTATGGGATATCATTAATTTAACAAATATTATAGGCATTCCAGAAGGAAAACTGAAGAAAAAAATGTGAGAAAAACATATTTAATAAAATGATAGCATAAAACTTTGTAACTCTGGAGAGAGAGCTAGACATCTAGTTCCAGGAAGATCAAAGAACCCAAAATATATTCAACCCAAACAGTATAGTCAAATTGTGAAAAAGATAAAGATTTTGTAAAATAGTAAAACCGTCATAAAAACATGTAAAACTTTAAAAGTCACTGTTAAAGTCAATACATGAAGGAGAAAGAGAAAGGGATGAAACCTTGTCAGGGCAGAAAACTACCCAACTTCAAAGGTAAACAGAGAGGAAGAAAAGAACAAAACATATACAAAACAACCAGAAAATAGTAAAATGTTGGAAGTAACTCCTCACCAACCAATAGTAACTTTGAATGTTAATAGATTAAATACCCCATGAAAAATATAGACTTGCTGAGTGGATTAAAAAATAAGACCCAACTGTGTTTCATCTAAAACAAACTCACCTTACTTGTAAAGAAACACATAGAGTGATAATGAAGGGATGGAAAAAGATATCCATGCAAACAGAAGCCAAAAGTGAACAGAAATAGCTATACTTACATCAGACAAAACAGACTTCAAGTTAAAAACCATAAAAAGTGATAAACAAGATTATTATGTAATAATAAAGGGTTCAATTTAGTAAGAAATACAATTGTAATATGTATATAATTGTAAATTTGTATGCACTCAACACCAGAACACCCAGATATATAAAGTAAATACTACTAGGAGTTGCCTCAGGCACCCCAACCATTGGCAACCACCACTCTGATCAGTCAGCAGCCATCAACATGGAAGCAGCACCCTCCACCAGCGAAAAGATTATGACTCACTAAAGGCTCAGGTGATCACTAGCATTTTTTAAAGCAATAAAGTAGTTTTAAATTAAGGTATATATGTATTTTTTTAAGATATAATGCCATTACACCCTTAACAGACTACAGTGTAGTATAAATATGACTTTCATATGTATAGGGGAGCCAAAACATTCGCATGAGTCACTTAATGCAGTTTTTGCTTTATTGCAGTGGTCTGGAATGAAACCCATAAAGTCTTTGAGATATGTCTATACACATTATTTATATATTCTCTATCTGTATACATATTATAGTTTTCTTTCTTAAATGTTAGGTCTTCCAGTGAGCTAAGTTATGTTTACCATATCCTTAGATTCAGATTCTTGTTACTCAAATTAATTCTTCATCACTGTTTTGTGTAGCAAATATCTAATAATATATTTTTGCATTTTTCTGGTGGCTAAAGTATGTCAGAACAACTTTCCAGGTTTGAAGATGAAGAAGGTGCTGATGTTGCTGCATATGAGTAAGTCACTTTGAAGTTTGAAAGGAGGAAGCCATTGATGGATCTCTTATATTTAGTTAAACAGGGCTTAGGCTGGGTGCAGTGGCTCATGCCTGTAATCCCAGCACTTTGGGAGGCTGGGGTGGGCAGATCACAAAGTCAGGAGATCAAGACCATCCTGGCCAACATGGTGAAGCCCCATCTTTACTAAAAATAAAAAAAAAAAATTAGCCAGATGTGGTGGTGCGCGGCTGTAGTCCCAGCTACTCAGGAGGATGAGGCAGGGGAATCTGGATCCCTTCCTTATACCTTATTCAAAAATTAACTCCAGATGGATTAAAGATGTCAACATAAGAACTAACATCATAAAAACCCTCAAAGAAAACCTAGGCAGCACCATTCAGGATATAGGCATGGGCAAGAACTTCACAACTAAAACACCAAAGCAATGGCAACAAAAGCCAAAATAGACAAATGGGATCTAATTGAACTAAAGAGCTTCTGCACAGCAAAAGAAACTATCATCAGAGTAAACAGGCAGCCAAAAGAATGGGAAAAAATTTTTGCAATCTACCCATCGGACAAAGGGCTAATATCCAGAATCTACAAAGAACTTAAACAAATTTACAAGAAAAAATCAACCCCATCAAAAAGTGGGCAAAGGATATGAACAGACACTTCTCAAAAGAAGACATGCAGCCAACAAGCATATGAAAAATGCTCATCATCACTGGTCATTAGAGAAATGCAAATCAAAACCACAATGAGATACCAACTCATGCCAGTTAGAATGGCAGTCATCAAAAAGTCAGGAAACAACAGATGGTGGAGAGGATGTGGAGAAATAGGAACACTTTTACACTGTTGGTGGGGGTATAAATTAGTTCAACCATTGTGGAAGACAGTGCGGCAATTCCTCAAGGATCTAGAAATAGAAATCCCATTTGACCCAGCAATTCCATTACTGGGTATATACCCAAAGGATTATAAATCATTCTGCTATCAAGACACATGCACATGTATGTTTATTGCAGCACCATTCACAATAGCAAAGACTTGGAACCAACACAAATGCCCACCAATGATAGACTGGATAAAGAAAATGTGGCAAATATACTCCATAGAATGCTATGCAGCTGGAAACCATCATTCTCAGCAAACTAACACAAGAACAGAAAACCAAACACCACATGTTCTCACTCATAAGTAGGAGTTGAATGATGAGAACATATGGACACAGGGAGGGGAACATCACACAGCAGTGCATGTCAGCGGATGCGGGGCAAGGGGAGGGATAGCATTAAGAGAAACACCTAATGTAGATGACAGGTGGATGGGTGCAGCAAACCACTGTGGCGCATGTATACCTACAAGGTTTGTTAACCTGCGTGTTGTACACATGTACCCCAGAACTGAAAGTATAATAATAATTTAAAAAGCATTTTGTTACATAACTTTTGAATAATTTTCTTTTTAAATTGTATTTATAAAGGTCTTTGTGCTGGGCACTGTGGCTAACGCCTGTAAGCCCAGCTCTTAGGGAGGCAGAGGCGGGAGAATAGCTTGAGCCCAGGAGTTCGAGACCTGCCTGGGCAATATAGCGAGATTCCGTTCTCCACAAAAAGGAAAAAAAAAAAAAGACAAAAGGCCTTTGTTTTTTGGTTAAATTTATATGTTAGAAGAAATCTGATTATTTTTATTTTTACTTCTCTTTGCAGCAGCAAGATTAAGAAAATAGCACGCTCAATTGTATCATCCTTTACATTTGGGTATGTGAGACATAAAAAAACACCTTGTATTAAATATATCTGAGATTTAATACATTAAAAAATGCCATGTATTAAATATATTTGAGCTAGATGCGGTGGCTCACGCCTATCCAGCACTCTGAGAGGCCAAGGCAGGTGGATCACCTGAGGTCAGGAGTTCAAGACCAGCCTTGAAACCCCATCTCTACTAAAAATACAAAAATTAGCCGAGCATGATGGTGGTGTCTGTAATCCCAGCTACTCAGGAGGCTTAGGCAGAAGAATCGCTTGAACCTGGGAAGTGAAGATTGCAGTGAGCTGAGAGCACACCATTGCACTGCAGCCTAGGTGGAGAGCAAAACTCCATCTCCAAAGTATATATGTGTGTGTGTGTGTGTGTGTGTGTATATATATATATATGTGTGTGTGTGTGTGTGTATGTATATATATTTTATGTATATATACATGTATATATACATATTACATATATATACACATACGTATATATATTACATTAGATTACATTAGATAAAGCCCATGGCTACTTAGCAATCAGTGGATATGGAAATGCTTCTTGGTTTTTTTATTTCTGTCTCTTATTGAAATATTAAGTCTCTGAAACCAGAAAGCATTTCCATGTCCACCAATTGCTAAGTAGCCATGTGCCCTATCTAATGTAATCTAATTTATCATGGAATTTTGGTTTAAGCTGGACATTAAGACTTGCAAAGAAATGGCTTTTGCCTAAGATTAATAGTAACATTAATATTGTTTTTCCTCCATCTGCAAAGGTAATGTTAACGAAAATCCAATGTTAAAATTCTATAAGTAAAGTGTTTTATTAAGTACCTTATACATCTAGAATTACTCTTTAATTCTGAAACAATTTACTTAGACTCTTCTCTACATAAGAGTAAGATTTCATACTATGATACAGATTTATGCAATATAACTGTTTCCTTTTGAATTAATAATATTGTAATATTTTTCAAAAGTACTTTGAAGACTAATTAATCTTCATAGATTAGGCAAATAGTATAATCAATTTGTGGGGAATGTATTCAGAATATGTAACAGCAAATGTCAGGAGGTACTTTAGAGTTCAACACTATAAATATTTATGGAATTGAATTCTTTCTCATATACCCATCACTGTGCTAGAAGCACCCATAAATATGTAATTATATACTTGTTGAAAATGTCACTGACAAAAAAATCTTGGTCTTTTAAGAGTGTATGTTACTCATGCTTTCATTTGGTTTTTGTTAATAAATTCTTAAGAATTATCCAAATTAATGAGATTTTGTTTTTTATGAGAAATTCATATAAACTTCTCATAAAATTCTCAAATTTTAAGAAGAGTTTATAAACAGGCACAGGAAATTTTAGTTCAGTTTTATTTTTCTCTTTTGAAGTATTAGTCTGATGTGTCTGCTATAAAATAGCATGATAACATCTTGTGAAGTAGGAATTTTATTAAGAAATGCTTCTATTGGGCGAAAACTGATTTTTCCTGAGGTTGTAAGGCATTACAGTTTTTCCTGGCACTGGGCAGCTTAATACTAAATAATATCATTTTGGTACCCAATCATTGGCCTAAATATAGTATAACTATCAGTACAAAAGCCCCTCTATCTTTACTTTTATTTACTTACTTGTTTATGCATTTGTTTTAGAATATTTGGAGTTTGCCTGCTCTTATTGAATGTTGGTCTCATCTTTGCCGACCTAATTTTCGCTGAAAAGAAAGCTTCTATCCCTTTGGAATATCTTTGTATTTCTCTATCTATTGCCTTATTTTTTCTCATGGATATTCTTCTTCGAGTATTTGTAGATGGGTAAGTTTGATTATTTTTATACTGCATAAAGTCATTTTGTACTTTTATAAGAAGCACTTTGGGAGGCTGAGGTGGGAGGATCAAAAGGTCAGGAGTTCAAGACCATCTTGGACAACATGGTGAAACCTCGTCTTTACTAAAAATCCAAAAATTACCTGGGTATGGTGGCAGGTGCCTATAATCCCAGCTATTTGGGAGGCTGAGGCAGGAGAATTGTTTGAACCTGGGAGGTAGAGGTTGCTGTGAGCTGAGATCGTGCCATTGCACTCCAGCTGGGTGACAGGACAAGAGTCCATCCCTCCTCCCCCACAAAAAAGGCATTTAAAAATAATTTACAGGAGCATCCACCACAAGCTGACTTAAGAGCCTTTGGGCTTTATGAGAACATTGGCGGTAGTCTGGCAATACCCCCCATGGCTCTGTGTTTGAGGTGGCCATCGACTGATGCTCCTCTGCCTTTGGAGAGGGGTGGAAAGAATGGGAGGGACTGTATCTTGTTGTTTGAGTGACAGCTCGGCTATAGCACAATAAAACTCCAGGTAGACTTTTTAAAGTTTTTTATATAGGCCCTGATTCCCAGACAGCACCTTTGGACCCACCCACAGCCTGGAAGAACTTGCCATCCTGAAGGGAAGGACACAAGCCTGGCTGTTTTATACCACATGATTGTAGAGCCCCAGGGCCTTAAGCAAATTTATGCAATAGCTAGGGTGTCGTTACAGCAGGTCTTGGGCAATACCTAGTGCTGTGCTGGCTTCAGGTCTGACCCAATGCAGTCATTATAGTGGTGGTCACAGGGGTGCTTGTGTCACTCAACCGCAAGCTTTAGGTGGCTCAGAACAGAGAGAGAGAGACTCTGTGTGGGAGAAACTAAGGGAAGAGAACAGGAGTCTCTTTTTGGTAATCCAGAGAATTATCCTGGATCTTGTCCAAGACCATTAAGGCAGTACCACTATGGGTCTGCAAGAACCACAGAGTTTAGGAGGCTTGGGGTGCCCCTAAAGCAGATACAGCTTAGATCACAATATCCAAGTTCTTTCCAATATATGGAAAGCCTTCTCAATAAAGATGGGTACAAACAAGCCCTGGGAAGCGTGCCTACAGGATCTAGAATATAACCTTGAATGGGTAAATCTAAGCGATATTGGCCTTAAAGAGGAGGTAGAGAGAGAGAGAGGTATAGAAAGTTTATTCAAAGGGTTAGTAACAACTTCCCAAACCTACAGAAAGATATCAATATCCAAGTACAAGAAAGTTGTAAAACATCAAGCAGATTTAACTCAAAGAAGACTACCTCAAGGCATTGAATAATCACATTCCCCAAGATCAAGGATAAAGAAATGATTTTAAAAGCAGCAAGAAAAAATAAACCAATAATATACTGTGGAGGTACAATACGTCTGGCAGCAGACTTTTTAGTAGAAATGTTTCAGGCCAGGAAGAGTGACATGACATATTGAAAGTGCTGAAGGAAAAAAACATTTACCCTAGAACAGTATATCCAATGAAAATATCCTTCAAAGTGAAGAAGAAATAAAGACTTTTCCACACAAACAAAAGCTGAGGGATTTCATCAACACCAGACCTATCCTTGAAGAAATGCTGAAGGGAGTACTTCAGTCAGAAAGACAAGGACATTAATGAGCAATAAGTAACCACCTGAAGGTATAGAACTCACTGGTAATAGTAAATACACAGAAAAATGCAGAATGTTATAACACTGTAACTATGATGTATAAACTACTCTTATTCTAAATAGAGAGACTAAACTATGAGCCAATCAAATATATCAACTACAACAACTTTTCAAGACATAGTATAAGACAGAAATAACAAAAAGTTAAAAAGTAGGTAGACAAAGTTAATTTGTAGTTTTTATTAATTTTCTTTTTACTTGTTTGTTTATGCAAACAGTGTTATAATAAGCTTAAGATAATGGGTTATAAGATATTATTTGCAAACTTCATGGAAACCTCAAACCAGAAAACACACAATGGATACACAAAAAAATGAAAAACAAGAAACTCATCATATCACCAGAGAAAATTACTTTCACTAATGGAAGACTGAAAGGAAAGAAGGAAGAGGAGACCACAAAGCAACCAGGAAACAAATAACAAAATGGCAGGAGTAAGTTATAATAATAACATAGAATGTCAGTGGACTAAACTTTTTAATTAAGTGCCAGAGTGGCTGGACGGATGAAAAAACAAGCCCCGGCCGGGCACGGTGGCTCATGCATGTAATCCCAGCTCTTTGGGAGGCCGAGGCAGGCAGATCACGAGGTCAAGAGATAGAGACCATCCTGGCCAACATGATGAAACCTTGTCTCTACTAAAAATACAAAAATTATCTGTGAGTGGTGGTGTGCACCTGTAGTCCCAGCTACTCAGAAGGCTGAAGCAGGAGAATCGCTTGAACCCAGGAGGCAGAGATTGCAGTGAGCCAAGATTGCAACACTGCACTCCAGCCTGGTAACAGAACACGACTCCGTCTCAAAACAAACAAACAAACAAAAACAAGACCCATGATCTGTTGCCTACAAGAAACACCCTATTCCCATAAAGATACACATAGACTGAAAATAAAGGGATGCAAAGATGTATTTCATTCCAGGAGAAACCAAAAAAGAGCAGGAGTAGCTATCCTTATATCAGATAAAATAGATTTCAAGACAAAAACGATAAGAAGAGACAAAGAATGTCACTATTTAATGATAAAGGGATCAGTTCAGCAAGAGGCTTTCACAATTTTAAGTATATATGTACCCAACATATACACTGAGACACAATGGCTTCTCTGCTGAATCTTACCAAACATTTAAAGAAGAATGAACACCAATCCCGCTTAAGCTGTTCCAGAAAGCAGAAGAGAAGGGAATACTTCCAAACTCATTTCACAAGGTTGGTATTACCTTGATACCAAAAGCAGACAAAGATGCATCAGAAAAGGAAGACAGGCCCGGTGCAGTGGCTCACGCTTGTAATCCCAACACTTTGGCAGGCCAAGGCAGGTGGATTACCTGAAGTCAGGAGTTCAAGAGCAACCTGGCCAATATGGTGAAATCCTTTCTCTACTAAAAATACAAAATTAGCTAGGAGTGATGGTGTGTGCCTGTAATCCCTGCTACTTGGGAGGCTGAGGTGGGCGAATCACTTGAACCTGGGAGGCAGAGGTTGCAGTGAGCCAAGATCACACCACTGCACTCCAGCCTGGATGACAGAGTGAGACTCAGTCTCAGAAAACAAACAAAAAAGGCCAATATGTCTGATAAATATTGATGTGAGAATCCTCAACAACATACTAGAAAACTGAATTCAACAATATTTGGGAAAGTTTCATCATGACAAGTGGAATTTATCCCTGGGAAGCAAGGATTGTTCAGCATATCAGTCAGTGCAATACATCATATCAACACAATAAAGGATAAAAACCATAGGATCATTTCAGTTGATGCTGAAAAAGTGATAAAATTCAACATCACTTCATGATAAACAATCTAAAAAAACTGGGTATAGAAGTAACACACCTCAACATAATAAAAGCCATTTATACAGTCAGATTCCCACAGTCAATATCAAACTGAATGGGGGAAAACTGAAAAGCTTTCCTCTGAGATTTAGAACACAATGAGTTCACCACTGTTATTCAGCATAGTACCAGCAGTCCTCGCTAGAGTCATCATAGAAGAGAAAGAAATAAAGGGAACAGAAATCCAAATTGATATGGAAGAAGTAAAATTGTCCTTATGTTTGCAGATGATATGCTTTATTTGGAAAAAACTAAAGACTCCACAAAAAAAAAAAAACTATTAGAATTGGTAAATTCAGTAAAGTTGCAAGATACAAAATGAGCATACAAAAATCAGTAGCATTTCTATATGCCAACAGCAAACCATTTGGAAAGGACATTTAAGTGTTCCTATATACAATAGCCACAAATAAAATTAAATACCTAGGAATTAACCTAACCAAAGAAGTGTAAGATCTTTATAATGAAAACAATAAAACACTGTTGAAAGAAATTGAAGAGGACACCAAAAAATGGAAAGAGATTCCATGTTCATAGATTGGAAGAATCAATATTGTTAAAATGCTCATACTATCCAAAGCAATTTACAGATTCAATGCACTCCCTGTCAAAATATGAATGACATTCTTCACAAAAATAGAAAAAATAATTCTAAAATTTATATGGAGCCACAAAAGACCCAGAATAGCCAAAGCCATTCTAAGCAAAAAGAACAAAACTGGAGGAATCACATTACCTGACTTCAAATTATACTACAGAACTATAGTAAGCAAAACAGCATGGCACTGGCATAAAAACAGACACGTAGACTAATGGAACAGAAGAGAGAACCCAGAAACAAATCCACACACTTGCAGTGAACTCATTTTCAACAAATGTGACAAGAACATACATTGAGGAAAAGACAGTCTCTTCAACAAATGGTTCTGGGAAAACTGAATATACACATGCAGAAGACTACAACTAGACCCCTACCTCTCACCACATACAACAATCAAATCAACATGGATTAAATACTTAAATCTAAGACCTCAATGAACCTACTGCAAGAGAACACTGGGAAGAATCTCCAGGACATTGGTCTGAGCAAAAATTACTTGGGCAATACCTCACAAGCACAGGCAACCAAAGCAAAAATGGACAAATGAGATTACATCAAATTAAAAAGCTTCGAAGCAAAGGAAACAATTAACAAAGTGAAGAGACAGCCCACAGAATGGGAGAAGATATTTGCAGACAACCCACCTGACAAGGAGTTAATAACCTGAATATATAAGGAGGTCAAACAACTCTATAGGAAAAAAATCTAATTAATTTTTAAAATGAACAAAAGATTTGAATAGGCATTTCTCAAAAGAAAACATACAGATGGTAAACAGGCATATGAAGAGGTACTTAACATTATTGATCATTAGAAAAATTGTCAATGTAGAAAACTACAATGAGATATCATCTCACCCCAGCTAAAATGGTTTGTATCCAAAAGTCAGGCAATAACAAATGTCGGCAAAGATGTGAAGATAAGAGAACCCTCATACACTGTTTGTGGAAATGTAAATTAGTAGAACTACTATGGAGAACAGTTTGGAGGGTCCTCAAAAAAGTAAAAATAGAGCTATCATATGATCTCGCAATCCCACTGCTGGGTATATACCCACAAGAAAGGAAACCAGTATATATAAGAGATGGCCAGATGCAGTGGCTCATGCTTGTAATCCCAGCATTTTGGGAGGCCGAGGCTGGCAGATCACCTGAGGTTGGGAATTCAAGACCAGCCTGACCAACATGAAGAAACTCCACCTCTACTAAAAATACAAAATTAGCCGTGCATGGTGGCATATGCCTGTAACCCAGCTACTCAGGAGGCTGAGGCAGGAGAATCGCTTGAACCCAGGAGGTATAGAGGTTGCAGTGAGCCGAGATCGTGCCATTGCATTCCAGCCTGGGCAACAAGAGCAAAACTCCATCTCAAATTAAAAAAAAAAGATATCTGCATTCCCATGTTTGTTGCAGCACTGTTCATAATAGCTAACATTTTTATTTATTTATTTGAGACAGAATTATTTTTCTCTGTCACCCAGGCTGGAGTGCAGTGGTACGATCTTGCTCACTGCAACCTCTGCCTTTCAGGTTCAAGTGGTTCTCCTGCCTCAGCCTTCTGAGTAGATGGGACTACAGGCACATACCATCAAGGCTGGCTAATTTTTGTATTTTTAGTAGGGACAGGGTTTCACCATGTTAGCCAGAATGGTCTTAATCTCCTGACCTCATGATCCACTCACCTCAGCCACCCAAAGTTCTGGGATTACTGCCTGAGCCACCATGCTGAGATTTAAAAGCAACCTAAGTGTCCATCAACAGACGAGTGGGTAAAGAAAATATAGTACATATATGCAAGAGAGTATTATTTAGCCATAAAAAGGAATGAGATCCTGTCATTTGCAACAACATGGATAGAACTGGAGATCACTATGTTAAGTGAAACAAACCAGGCACAGAAGGACAAACATCACATGTTCTCACTTATTTGTAAGCTCTAAAAAAAAAAAAAAAAAAAATTGAACTCATAGAGAGTAGAAGGATGATCATCAGAGGGGCTGGGAATAGTAAGGGTTTGGGGGTGGTGAGGTGGGGATGGTTAATGGGTACAAAAAATGGAAAGAATGAATAACATCTAGTATTTGATAGCACAACAGATTGACCATAGTCAAGAATAACTTAATTGTACATTTTTAAATGACTGAAAGAGTATAGTTGAATTGTTTGTAACATGAATGATAAATGCTTGAGGGGATAGATACCCCATTGTCCACAATAAGGGTGATTAGTATGCATTTAATTATATCTCTTACTGTATTTAAATTGCCATATTGGTGCTTTTTTAGTCATATATATGTGTCAAATGATTAATATAAATTTATTGTTTGTAAATTTCCCATGAATGTTATATTTTTCCCTTAGTCCAACATTTTAAATGACTCATGAAAGTAGAATTCTTAGTGGGGATGAGTCAATAGTTTGTGGTCTTTAAATATTCCTATCTCTTCTTGCAAGAGGAATTAACTTATATATTTTTTTGTTTTATATTACAGGAGACAGCATTATTTTTCTGACTTATTTAACATTTTAGATATTGCCATTATTGTGATTACTCTGCTGGTTGATGTCATTTACATTTTTTTTGACGTTAAGTTTCTTAGTGATATTCCCAGGTATGAAATATAAGACTTACCTCTCTTAAAGTTTTTCATTAATTTTTTGCATTTTCCATGGCTTTTATTCTATGTAATCTTTTCAACTTCAAATGTTCTCATTCTATACCAAACACATTGCTTTAAAAAATGTTTAGCTATAGTCCCACATACTTTGAAACAAAAAGATTGCGATATTTAGGGACCAGTGAAGAGTATACACACTAAGCACCATTAATTGAATAAAGAAGATGGAGTACCCAAAGAAGGACTTTTACCTCTTGTACTAACTTTAACTTCTCTATATTTTGAAGTTCTCATCATATTCCCATTTTTATCATTTTTCAGCCTTTTGGCTAAGATCAAGTGTGATATTCTTATCAGTTTAATAACTGGTACATCAAAAAAAATTTTTATTAAAAACAATTCCCCTCTGTGCTTCAACTACAAATCCCTTACACATAATGTTCTGTCTGGATTTTTCCTACAGCCAAGCGGAAATTTATTTGAGCATATGCTAAATTTGAGTGACTTCAATCATGAGTTTCTAACAAAAATAGCAAACAGAACAGAAAACTAGGAGATGACACGTATAGCAACACCATGGTAGAGTTTTGCAGTATAGTTGTGGTAGAAACAAAGAAAGCTAACACAAAGTTAGAACTGTTAGGGATTAGGAAACTAAAGAGTGAGGACCTGGTGACTTTTTTCTTCTTTTTTTACTGTGACAATGAGGAAAATGGAAGAGCAAATGCGTACTGGGATGTAGATGGTGGCTTCCTAAGCTTGTTCATGGGTCAAATAGCTGGTTTCTTTCTGTACCCTAGCTTCCCTAGACTACAACTCAGGCCCGACTAAGCATGTTAAGTAATAGGGTTTTGGAGTTATTTGAAAATAACTTCAGCTAATATGATCCCCTGACTAGAAATCTCAGCATCACTTGAAAGCTTACTAGAAATACAAGAAGAAAAATACCTTAGGCCCCACTTTGGACCCATTGAATCAATATTTCTGGGACCCTGCAATCTGTAGCTTAACAGGCTTTTTCAGATGGCTCTTATTTATGTGTGCCCAAATTAGAGAAGCACTAGTCCAGACCATCAGTTCTCTGCTTTGGTGTTTCTGATGGTAGGAGAGACGCCAGCTAGCACACTTGGGAAGTATCTCAATCTGTTGCCTGCCTGATGTGCATTAGCAGCTGTAGTGAACCCCTGTTACTTATGGCAGTAACAGAGATGAACAAGAATTCTCCATTTGTTTTTATGTGGAAAGATTGAAAATGCTAGTCTTAAATCCCAAAATTAAATTGACAAATTCTAAGTCTATTGACTTAGACCGGAATTTCTCAACCTCAGTAATACTGACATTTTGGGCCAGATCATTGTCATAAGAGGGTGGTGAGCAGTTATATTAATTACAGGATGTTTAGCAGAATGCCTGGCTTCTGTCCACTAGATGTAACACACAAACACCCCAATTGTGAAAACCAAAAATGCCTCAAGATATTGCCAAATATCCCCCAAGTGGGTAATTGAGGAGAGGAGGGAAAATTGTCCTTGCTTAACAACTGCTGCCCTGGACATAGTTTATATTGATAAAATTCTGTTTCTGAAGCAAAAAATTGATCTTTTAAATTTATCATTAGATGGACACCCATAGTTCGACTTCTACGACTTATTATTCTGGTAAGAATTGTTCATCTGGCTCATCAAAAAAGACAGCTTGAAAAGCTGATCAGAAGGCTGGTAAGTGGGCAGAACATGCTTATGACTTCATAAAATATTTTGTTTTGGGACCTATTGGCAAGGGTCGATATCTATACTGTATAATGTTCTTTATTTTTATGTTGATCAATGTTTCACAAACTAATGATGGTTTTAAACCCTCAGGTTTCAGAAAACAAAAGGCGATACATAAGGGATGGATTTGACCTAGACCTCACTTATGTTACTGGTTTGTAACACTTAACTGTTGATTTACTTGTATTACTTCACTTTTTCTTGTCATCATATTTTTATTTTGTTTTTGCCTTGTCTAAGCCACATTCATTCAAAGTATTCTTTATTCATGAGTATATATGCCACTGTGATAGTGTGACATGTTTGTGGTTTAGCCCTGGCATTGGAAGATTTCCATGTCATTTCAATTGACAACTACTTGGTTGCACCACAGGAACTTGAATGGATTTTCAGCTGTGTCCTTTCGAGTTTCAATTTATTAAGCTCTAGTAGTTATTCTAAGTCCCAAGGATCCCAGAGAGACCTCTTCGCTTCATAGAACCCCAGAGAATGTGGTCACTGCTTTGTAGATCTCAGGTTTTCTGAGTCAGAGGGCTGCAGAGCACTTTGGAAGTTCCCACCATCACTGGTGCCCAGAACTCTTGAATCTTCTCTGATATTTAAGATAAGAAATAAATTCTAAGAATAAGAGGATCTTCAGAATGAGGCCGACATAAGTACACGGAATATGGTTAGAACCAGTAGAGTCTCAAGAAAACCATGCCAGTTTAATGGCCATTATGTTGTATAATTTAATATGTTATTTTATTATCCTGAGTATTAGCTCCTTTCTGTCAACCTCTATCTTAAAAGTCTTTTTTTCTGTGAAAATGGAGTCTAATTACATATAAATTAATTTTTTGTATGTTATTTGAAATCTATAATAATGTTTGTAATAGTGATGATTTTGACTTTCAGAACGTATTATCGCTATGTCATTTCCATCTTCTGGAAGGCAGTCTTTCTATAGGAACCCAATTGAGGTAAGGATATTTCTCTGACAAATACTCATTTCTCAGTGAATGTAGACTGTGTAGTCATAAGTTTAATATTGACCCAGAAATGGCAGTATTCTTTTTCAAGTAAAAAATTCATAACGGATTGATTCCAGTTACAATTGTACCAGTGGTTACAAACCACCCCAAAACTTACTGGCTTATAACAGCAACTATTTATTTGGCTCATGATACTGTGGTTTGTGAATTTGGGATGGGCTTAACTGTCCAATTTGGGTGCTCACAGAAAGGATTTCCTATCGCAACTAAGCTCATTCATGTATCTGTGGGCAGCTACTGGGTCATCTGAGGACTGGCTAGTCTAAAATGCCTTGGCTACTCTCAACGGACAGAGCTAGTGCATGCTACATGCACCCCCCCAAGGCCCAAGGCCCAAGGCCCGTCCCATCTGGCACCCACTGCTGCCAACAGCCCCACCCCCTTCACCAGCAGAGCCGCCATATGCTGCATGCACTTCTAAGGCCCTGAGGACTGGCCTACCTGGTGTCTACCCTGCTGGTGGCAACACCCCACAACTAGCAAAGCCACTGCACCTAGCATGCCTATGCCTAGGGCCTAAGAACTAATCTGAATGATGGCTCCCACCCCAAGAAAAGCCATACCACTGTCTGCACAAACTCTCACCATCAGGCCACTGAGGCACCCACAGACAACACTGAATGCTGATTACAGCCAAAGAATTCAAATGAAGACTATATGGCCAGGTGCAGTGGCTCACACCTGTAATCCCAGCATTTTGGGAGGTCGAGGTGGGCGGATCATGAAGTCAAAAGATCAAGACCATCTTGGCCAACATGGTGAAATCCTGTCTCTACTAAAAATACAAAAATTAGCTGGGTGTGGTGACACATACCGATAGTCTCAGCTACTTGGGAGGCTGAGGCAGGAAAATTGCTTGAACCCAGGAGGCGGAGATTGTAGTGAGCTGAGATTGCACCACTGCACTTTAGCTCAGCAACAGAGTGAGACTCCACCTCAAAAAGAAAAAAAAAAGAAGAAGACTATATTGCTGTAGCCACCCAAAACCAAAGTCAAAGTATCCTACTCAATGAACACTATAGGAGACAACTATTGGAAAAAGCATTTCTCTGTGAAAGCTCCCTAATATTGGAAGAGGCAACTGTTTCCCTAGATGTGCAAAAATCAACTTAGGGCCACAAGAAACATAAAATGCAGGAACGTTACACCTCCAAAGAAACACAATAATTCCCCGTTAACAGATCCTGTATTTTAAGAGTATATCAAATGACTAAGAAGGAATTCAAAATAATGATCTTAAGAAAACTCTATGAGATTCAAGAGAATACAGATAGACACATTGATGAAATTAGAAAAATAATTTATGATCTTCTGAGAAATTCAACAAATATATATATGTCATTAAAAACCAGACAGAGATCTTGGAGCTGAAGAATTTAAGGAATAAAATAAAAATACAATCAAGAGTCCAGGTGCAGTGGCTCACACCTGTTATCCCAGCACTTTGGGAGGCCAAGATGGTGGATCACTTGAGGCCAGGCATTCAAGACAAGCCTGATTAACATGGTAAAATCCTGTCTCTAAAAAATACAAAAATTAGTTGGGTTTGGTGGCACATGCCTGTAAATCCCAGTTCCTTGGGAGGCTGAGGCATGAGAATTGCTTGAACCCAGGAGGTGGAGGTTGCAGTGAGCCAAGATTGTGTCACTGAACTCCAGCCTGGGTGACAGAGCAAGTCCCTGTCTCAAAAACAAACAAAAAAAAAAAAATCAAAGGCTTTAAAAACAGGCATGGGAGAGATACGGCCAAAATCTAGGAAGCTCAAAGGTTCTCAAGTAGATTAAACCCAAAAAGATCTTCCCTGAGGTACATAATAGTCAAACTGTCAAAAGTCAAAAAGAGGGAATATTGTTCGAGTGCAGTGGCTGATACCTATAATCCCAGCACTTTGGGAGGCTGAGGTGGGTGGGTAATTTGAGGCCAGGAGTTCAAGACCACCGTGGCCAATATGAAGAGACCCCATTTCTACTAATAATAAAAATTAACTGAGTGTGATGACATGCACCTATAGTTCCAGCTACTTGGGAGGCTGAATCATGAAAATTGCTTAAACCCAGGAGGTGGAGGTTACAGTGAGTTAAGATCACACCACTGCACTACAGCCTGGGTGACAGAGTGAGACTGTCTCAAAAAAAAAAAAAAAAGAAAAAGAAAATATTAAAAATGATAGTAAAAAAGTCACATATAAGGGAACCTCCATTTGATTAACAGTGGGTTTCCCAGTGGAAACTTTACAGGTCAGTAGACAATGAGATGGGTTGATATATTCAAAGTATTGAAAGGAAAAAGGAAAAAAAAAAAAAAAAACCTGTCAACCAAGAATACTATACCCAGCAGAGCTATCCCCTAGAAATGAGAGAGAAATAAAATATTTCCCAGACAAGCAAAAACTGAGGAAATTCATCACCACTAGACTGGCCTTACAAGGTCTGCTTAAGGTGGTGCTACATCTGGAAGCAAGAGGATGATTACCATTGTGAAAACACACGAAAGTATAAAACTCACTGGTAGATCAGATACACACATGAAAAAGAGAAAGGAATCAAACTTTATCACTACAGAAAAACACAAAACCACAAAGATTTTTTAAAATATGGAAGAAAAGAACAAAGGATATGCAAAACAACCAGAAAAAAATGAACAAAATGAGAAGATAAAACCTTATCTATTTATAATAACTTTGAATGTAATGTAAACAGATCAAATTCCCAATTAAAAGATATAGAGTTGATTGCCAAGATTAAAAAAAAAAAAAAAAGACCTAAATATATACTGCCAACAAGAAACTAACTTCACCTGTAAAGGTACACAGACTGAAACGGAAGGGATAGAAAAAAATATTTCAGGCAAACAGAAACCAAAAGTGAGCAGGGGTAGTTATGTAAGATAAAACAGACTTTAAGTCAAACTGTATGAAGAGACAAAGAAGGTCATTTTATAATGATAAAGGGACCATTATAAGATCATAATAAGATATAATAATTGTAAATATATATGTACCCAACACTAGAGCACTCAGATAAACAAGGGAAATATCATTGGATCTAAAGGGAAAGATAGACTCCAATGTAGTCATATTTGGGAACTTTAATATCCCATGCTTAGCACTGGAAAGATCATCTAGACAGTAAATCAACAAAGAAATATCAGATTTAAGCTTACAGATAGGGATAAGTTCTGGAGTTCTATAGTGCTGTAGGGTAACTACAGTTAACAATAATTTATTATATATTTTTAAATAGAGAGGAGATTGAGTATTCCCAACACAAATATTTGAGGTGATAGATATGCTGATTATCCTGATTTTATTATTATACATTGTATACAGGTATTGAGATATCACTCTCTACCTTATAAATATGAACAAGTATCATGTGTCAATTAAAAGTATTTTTAAAGAATGAAGGAAAAAGATTTTTTAAAATGAAAGAAAATAACGTGACTTGGCTGAATGGCCCCATGTGGTCTCTCATTCTCCAGTAGGCTGCTTCAGGCCTGTTCACATGATGGCAGAGGCAAGAGTCCCAGGAGCAGCAATCAAAACAATGCAAATCCTCTTAAGGCCCAGGCTCAAAATTAGTATATTACTTCTACTCCATTTTATTGGACAATGCAAATTACCAGTCTGGATTCAAGAAGTAGAAAATAAACTCCAAGAATTGATGGAAGGAATTTTAAAGAATTGTGGCCGTTTTTGACAGTCTACTATAGGGAGGAAGGATGGGGATGTTATAACCAAAATGTGTGTTCTTAGGTTAAGATCCTAAATTATATTCAGGGCATACTGCTTTAGGCTCTGTGGATGACTAAATTAATTTCAAACATACAATGCTGTTTACTGTGAAATGCTAGCTGAAAGGATCATTGTTTAATTTTATGTAATTTGTAATACTTATTATACCTCAATAAAAATATAATTATTGAAGACTGACATCAGTTGCTGAGAGGTGAAAGGAATACCTCTCTGCAGCGTGTTAGCTCAGGTCTCAACAGGACAGGGCCGCAAGTTCAGCTACTTCCCAGAAAATGGCCTGAATCACCGACCTGAGTCATCATCCCATGACTGGAGAATATGGACAGATTATTTTATCAAGAAACTGGTGATAAACCAAGGGCTATAGGAATTAAGAACTAGGGCTAAAAAAGAAATGTTTAGAGTGATCCAACATGGCCAATTAGAAGCAGCTGCAGTCCACAGTATTCAGGAAGAGGAATGAAAAGAGGCGAGTAAATTCAGCACCTGCAACTGAGATATCCAGATTCTCACATTGGGACTGACTGAATGAACAGCTCAACCTATGGAAAACAAAAGTGGAGAGAGGGTACAACGGCCCAGCAGGGAGCAGCGTGGAGCCAAAGAACCCCCACTCCGAGTCAAAGGAGGCAGTGAGTGAGTGTGCAATCCTGCCCAGGAAACTGTGCTTCTTCCATGGATCTTTGCAACCTGTGGATCAGGAGATACCCTTGTGAGCCCATGCCACCAGGGCCTTGGGTCTGATACACAGAGCTGTGTGGAGTCTCGGCACATCAGCTGCTCAGGCACACACAGAAACCCAGGAGTTTTGCATACTCCAGCCCCTGAGATCTTCAGCACAGTAGGAAATCTGTCCATACATATCTCTGGGAAGGTGGCTGAATCCAGGGAGCAGGCAGTGTCATTCTGTAGGCCCCATTTCCATGGCACCTCACAAGTTAAAACCCACTGGCTCGGAATCCTAGCCAGTCACCAGCAGTGGGTTGGAGTCTGCCTCAGATGAGTCTGAGTTTTCGGGGAGCTGGGGAGGCACAGCCAGCATCACTGTGGTTCATAGACTCAGCCACTCCAGCCTGCCAGCTATGGAGAATACAGACCGTCTGGACAAAAAAGAGTTCCCCACAGCATAGCTAATCATGACCAGACTGCTTCTTTAAGCAGGACCCCAGTTCATTCCTCCTCACTGGGCAGGACTCCCTACGGGGGCTTTATCTACTCCAGCAATGGTTCTATGGACAGAGATTTCATCTCTCCCTGAAATGGAGCTCCTGGCGGGAGGAGCAGCTGTCATCTCTGCAGCTTGACCAACTCAGCCACTCCAGCCTGCTAGCTTTGGAGAATACAGGTGGTCTAGAGAAGGAAGTGTCCCCAGAATGTAGCACACCTGCTCTACCCAAAGGCAGCCAGACTGCTTCTTTGGATGGGTCCCTGATCCCATGCCTCCTGACTGAATGAGAACACCCAACAGGGGTCTCCAGCCACCTCCTGCAGGTACGTGCAAGTTGGTCAGTATACCCCTGGGATAGAGCTTCCAAAGGAAGGAGCTGGCTGCCATCTTTGCTGTTTTGCAGGCTTCACTGGTAATAGCTCCAGGTACTGGAGAAACTTAGGTGACTGGGGTCTGGAATGGACCCCCAGCAAACTGCAGAAGCACTATAGTAGAGTGGCCTGTTAAAGGAAAAACAAACAAACAGGAAATAACAACAACTGCTCAAAGAAATCAGAGAATACATACAAAAAATGGAAAAACATTTCATGCTCATGGATAGAATAAATATTGTGAAAATGGCCATACTACCCAAAGCAATTTACAGATTCAATGCCATTCCCATTAAACTACCATTGAAATTCTTGACAGAATTAGAAAAAAAAAACTATTTTAAAATTTATATGGAAGAACAACAAAAAGAGCCTGAGTAGTTAAGACAATCCCAAGCAAAAAGAACAAAGCTGAAGCCATCCCGCTACCTGACTTCAAACTATACTACAAGGCTACAGTATCCAAAACAGCATGGTACTGGCACAAGAACAGACATGTAGACCAACGGAACAGAATAGAGAACTCAGAAATAAGACCGCACACCTACAACCATCTGATCTTCAACAAACTTAACAAAAACTAGCCTTGGGGAAAGGACGCCCTATTCAATAAATGGTGCTGGAGTGCTGGTTAGCCATATGCAGAAAATTGAAACTGGACTTCTTCCTTACACCATATACAAAAATTAACTCAAGACTTAAATGTAAAACCTCAAACTGTAAAAACTCTAGAATAAAATCTAGGCCATGCCATTCAGGACATAGGCATGAGCAAAGATTTCATAATGAAAATGCCAAAAGCCATTGCAACAAAAGCAAAAATTAACAAATGAGATCTCTGATATACAGAGTCTACAAGAAACTTAAATTTATGAGAAAAAAAAACACCATTAAAAAGTGGACAAAGGATATGAACAGACACTTCAGAAAAGAGACATACATGCAGTCAACAAAAATATGGGGGAAAAAAAAAACTCAACCTCACTGATCATTAAAGAAATGCAAACAAAAGCACAATGAGATACCATCTTATGCCAGTCAGAATGGCCATTATTAAAAAGCCAAAAAACAACATATGCTGGCAAGGTTGCGGAGAAAAAGAATGCTTTTATACTGTTGGTGGGTGTGTAAATTAGTTAAACCCTTGGGGAAGACAGTGTGTCAAATCCTCAAAGACCTAGAGGTAGAAATACCATTTGACCTAGCAATCCCATTACGGGCATATACCCAAAGGAATGTAAATCATTGTCTTATAAAGGTACATGCATGCACACGTGTTTATTGCAGTAGTATTCACAATAGCAAAGACATGGAATCAACCTAAATGCCCATCAATGATAGATGGGGTAAAGAAAATGTAGTACATAGAGAGAGTAGGACATCTGGCTTCCAAGTGGGAACCTTTGTAGCGCCATTGACGAAAGAGAGAATTAAATATGGGTGATGCTGAGAAAGGCAGGAAAATTTTTGTTCAGAAGTGTGCCCAGTGCCACACCGTGGAAAAGGGAGACAGGCACAAGACTGGTCCTAATCTCCATGGCCTCTTCAGGCAGAAGACAGGTCAGGCCATTGGATTCTCTTACACAGACACCAATAAGAACAAAAGCATTACCTGGGGAGAGGATACACTGATGGAGTATTCGGAGAATCCCAAGAAGTACATCCCTGGAACAAAAATGATCTTTGACGGCATTAAGAAGAAGGCAGAAAGGACAGACTTGATAGCTTATCTCAAAAAAACTACTAGTGAGTAGTAATTGGCCACTGCCTTATTTATTACAAAGCATGAGAAATTTCTCATGACTTTTTTATGTGTACCATAATTTAATAGCTCTCATACACCAGAATTCAGATCATGAATAACTGACTGTTGGGCAGTCCTGATTTAAGACTAAGGCTGGTTTGTGGTTAAATGAGTAACTTTGGTCTTTGAATTTTAATAGTAATTCCAATTCAGTAAATGCTATCACTGTATGCCCCTTCTAAAGATATGATTAGACTTTGTAAATAATGTTCAACTTTTCAAAGATGGTGAGTGCCATCTTAAAACTTATTGAAGACCAGTTTTATATTTAGATTGATATAACTGGTTATGTGAATATATTTAAATACTGGGGAAACTCCTTTACTGTCTCAGAACCAAGTAAGATTCACCTGTATTTTGTGTTTATTTCCCTCTTAAAGGCCAGGGTTGAAGATGAGGTAGCAATGTCTGCTTTATATTTTGGGCCTTAGCTATGTCAATCTAATTAGAATTCCCGTTATTTAAAATGGTTCCCTTTACTTATTAAAGGCATTTTAGTATAGTTTATGCGTAATATCAAATAAAGATTATTTAACACTTAAAAAACAACAAGAACAACAAAAAGAAAATGTGGTACATAAACATCATGAAATACTGTGAAGCCATAAAAAGGAACAAGATTACATGCTTTGCAGGGCCATGGATGGAGCTGGAAGCCATTGTCCTCAGCAAACTAACACAGGAACAGAAAACCAAACACTGCATGTTCTCACTTATACATGGGAGCTGACGATGAGAACACATGGGTATATGGTGGGGAACAACACACACTGGGACCTGTTGGGAGGAAGGGTGCAGGGGAAGGAAGGCATCAGGAAGAAAAGCTAATGGAATGCTAGGCTTAATACCTAGGGATGGGAGGATCTGTGCACTAAACCACATGGCACACGTTTACCTGTGTAATAAACCTGCATATCCTGCACATGTACCCCTGAACCTAAAATAAACGTTGAAGTAAAAAGATGTATAAAATGATCTGTATGTATGTATGTATGCCCTGATGTAAGTACACATATGTATATGCATGCATATATAATCACATTTTTATTGAAGTATAATACATATGGTTAAGTTGCACTAATCAAGTGTATATCTTGATATTATACGTAAGTATATTTGCATGTAACCAACACCTCTGTCAATATATTGATCTATGACTGATTTCCAATTAATTGTTGTAAAGATATAAAGTATCAAGGTTCATGTTTCTCATAGAGCTATCAATCCCTCCTGTACCATTTATTGTAAAGAGCATAATTTCCCCCAATTAATTGCAGAGGTATGTTTATTGCAAATCAAGTGAACATATATGCGTAGGTCTGTTTCTGGGCTTTTGTCCTTTCATTATGACTTGTCTATACAGTTTTAATCTTTTTGACTTATTATTTCCTCCTACCAGAGAAAACCAGTTTAATAAATGGATGACTTTGATACCTTAATTTTATTTTTCTCAATATTAAGCCAGTAAACATTGCTCTGAGGGTACCATATTAATTTTGTGTCATTTTTGTTGTTGCACAGAGATATAGTGTGTACATGTGTATGTTTCAGAAAGATATATTTCCAAAAAATAGTGGGACTCATATACTGGTATTAACTGTATTTTAAATAATAACTACTATTTGTTTTTCATTTTAAAGGTTATACATATATATACACGTGTGTGTGTGTGTGTATATATATATACACACTCATAAGTACACATATATCTTCATTAAAAAAAAATAAGAGAACAGAGGAGCCAAAAAAGTCTCCATATTGTTACCAGTTATTTAAAATTTGATATAATGTTTATCTTTTTCTGTCATGCATACACACAATCATACTATATACTTTTTGCATTTATTTGTTTACATAGTGCTTAGGTAGACTGTAACATGCAGATCACTATCTTAAGACACATCTATTCAGAATTAAATTTAAATAAGAGCCAATATGAATCAGATTTAAATAAGAACCACAATAACTGTGAATTAATGATTTGGAACAAATTTACTTAGTTAACCAGCTAAATTACTTATCTGGTAGCTTTAAACAGCGTGTATTTACACTAGAGACTAATCTGAATAGCCAAACACACTTTGTGGACTATGTGAAAAAACACAGTGGATTAACACTTGAAATTTCCATACCCTGGTATTCCCTGAATCTCCCCTAGAAGATGCTGGTGAGAGACAAATTAATAGAAAGTAGTAACCATTGGGCTGGGCGTGGTGGCTCACGCCTGTAATCGCAGCACTTTGGGAGGCCGAGGCAGGTGGATCACGAGGTCAGGAGTTCAAGACCAGCCTGGCCAAGATGGTAAAACCCTGTTTCTACTAAAAATACAAAAAAATTAGACAGGCATGGTGGCATGCAACTGTAATCCCAGCTACTCAGGAGGCTGAGGCAGAGAATTGCTTAAACCCGGAAGGTGGAGGTTGCTGTGTGCAGAAATTGCGCCACTGCACTCTAGCCTGGGCGACACAGTGAGACTCCATCTCAAAAAAAAAAAAAAAAAAAAAATGGTACCATGTGGATATATAAGGTGTGTGTGTGTTTTTTTTTTTAGGAAGTTGTACGGTTTCTAGACAAGAAGCACCCAAACCACTATCGTGTCTACAATCTCTGCAGTATGTACATTACTCTATATGTTGCTATATGGCTAGAAAATAGATTACTGCATATAAGAAGATGATTTTGTTTTTTATATTGCATTTAATCATAAGTATTTGGTGGTGGTGAGGAATGAATTTAAAAATCCCTACCTTGGACTGGCCCCATTTGGTAGGAGTTAGCCCAGCAGCACAAAGCACTCTATGAAGGAGGCAGTTCTGGCAGGACCAATGAGGCTGGCATGGAGGTAAACCATTTTAGGGAAGATCTATTCTGGCGATATTAGGTTTAGGAAAATCTTTCTGTTTGTCCTGCCAGATTATGTTATGAGGACATAGACAGTTTAACAAATGAGTCCTCTGATCCATTAGCAGTGGGTTGTGATGAGAGCAGGGCCATAGACGGGAAAAAAGCAAAAAAAAAAAAAAAAAAAAAACTCTGTAGAAAATAGGTTGTAAACCAGCTTACCACTCTGTCTCTCTTGATTTTTCCCTCTGCCTGTATACTCAATAGACATTTTCAGGAGGCAATCTTTTTGGTCAGCTTCATTTGCCTCTTGTGTGGTTTCTAACTACTCTGCAATAATATAATGAGTAGTCTGCTAGAAAGTTAAAAATTACACCTATTAAAAATAAGTTGAGTTTAGGGTACATGAGTTGGATAAGCCACTATTATTCTTACATTTTTGAGACTCTTACATTTATTTTAGAGCAGCAGGAGCAACTTGGAGAGCTTTTTTTGAAGATGGATAAGGAATTTCTAATAAGATATGTTAACCTATTAATAACTTCATTTACTATGGTATTACCCATAGAGATATGACATACGTATTATTTATTTTAGGTGAAAGAGCTTATGATCCTAAGCACTTCCATAATAGGGTCAGTAGAATCATGATTGATGACCATAATGTCCCCACTTTACGGTAAGTTTTATGTTAAGTTGACTATCAGAGGGCTAAATATATTGGGCTTAATTTTTTGAAAATAATTTAACTAAAAATCTTAAACTTGGAATCAGTGAGATGGTGGTATTCTCAAAGGAAGCAAGTGAGTGGATGGCTCAAGATCCTGAAAACATCATAGCGATTCACTGTAAAGGAGGCAAAGGTAAAACATTTTCCTTTTTATTTCTCCCTTTCTAAAGACATGTAACTATAAATATAGTACAAGAGCAAGATACATATTGTTATTAATAAGTATTAATAATTGTTAGCATTTTAAAATATTAGCTCCGAGACTGAAAGAAGGGAAGGAGAAAGGAAAGAGGAGAGGAGGAAAGGTAAGAGACAAGGAGAGGATAAGGAAGGGAAGAAAGTAGGGAAAAAAAACTAAGGAAGGCTGAGCATATTTTCCCTTTTTTTTCTATTTGGATTTCTTTATTTTTGGTTTTCCAGTTTATATCTCTCAAAATACAAATAGTCTTTCATTTTAGAATGTGAGAGTACTTTTATTCAAGGTGGCTTTTTATTTGTAAATTAACAAATAAATCAATATATTTATGGTATACAACAACATTTTTTGATATATGTAAACACTGTGAAATGGCTAAATCAAGCTAATTAACATATGCATCACTCCACATACTTTTTTGTGGTGAGAACATTTAAAATCTACTCTCTCAGCAATTTTCAAGTATACCTTATTATTAACTGTGGTCACTATGTTGTACAATAAATCTCCTGAATTTACTCTTCCTATCTAACTGAAATTCTGCATCCTTTAACCAACATCTCAGACAGGATGCAGTGGCTCATGCCTGTAATCCCAGCACTTTGGGAGTCCGAGGCGGATGGATCACCTGAGGTCAGGAGTTCAAGACCAGCCTGGCCAACATGGTGAAACCCTGTCTCTACTAAAAATACAAAAAATTAGCTGGGTGTGGTGGTGTTTGCCTGTAACACCAGCTACTTGGGAGCCTGAGGCAGGAGAATTGCTTGATTATCGGAGGTGGAGTTTGCAGTGAGCTGAGATTGCACCATTACACTCCAGTCTGGGCAACAAGAACAAAACTCCATCTCAAAAAATAATAATAATAAAATAAAAACCAACATCTCCACAATCCCCTCACTTTTGTCCCCCCAGTCCCTGGTAACACCCTTCTATTCTCTGCTTCTATGAATTTGACTTTCTTAGATTCCACAAATAGGTGAGACATGCAGTATTTGTCTTTCTATGCCTGGCTTATTTCACTTAGCATAACATTCTCCAGGTTCATCCATATTATCTCAAGTGACAGGATATCTTCTAAGGCTGAATAGTATGCCCTTATGTATATATACCACATATTCTTTATCCATTCATCCATTGATGACATTTAGATTGACTCCATAGCTTGGCTATTGTAAATAATGCTGCAGTGAACATGGGAGTGCAGATTTCATTTCCTTTGGATATATACACAAAAGTGGAATCTCCAAATCTTATGGCAGTTATATTTTTGTTTTCGTTTTTGTTTTTTTGAGGAACCTCTGTACTGTTTTTCATAATAACTACTAATTTACATTCACACCAACAGTGTACAAGGGCGTTCTCTTTTCTCTACATCCTCACCGACTCTTCTTTTGTCTTTTTGTTTATGACCATCCTAACAGGTATGAAAATATTTCTTTGTGATTTTAATTTGCTTTTCCCTGATGATTTTAACATTTTTTCATATACCTCTTGGCCATTTGTATGTCTTCTTTTGGGAAATATCTTTTCAGGTTCTTTGCCCATTTTCTAGAGAAGTAACTTGTTCTCTTGCTATTGTGTTGTTTGAGTTCCTTTTTTTTTTGAGACGGAGTTTCGCTCCTGTTACCCAGGCTGGAGTGCAATGGCGCGATCTTGGCTCACCGCAACCTCCGCCTCCTGGGTTCAGGCAATTCTCCTGCCTCAGCCTCCCGAGTAGCCAGGACTACAGGCACGCGCCACCATACCCAGCTAATTTTTTGTATTTTTAGTAGAGACGAGGTTTCACCATGTTGACCAGGATGGTCTCGATCTCTTGACCTCGTGATCCACCCGCCTCGGCCTCCCAAAGTGCTGGGATTACAGGCGTGAGCCACCGCACCCGGCCGAGTTCCTTTTTTTTTTAAAAAAAAAAATTAACCTGTTATCTAATGTAAGCTTTGCAGATATTTTCTCCCATTCTGTAGTTGCCTCTTTAAAATTGTTTCCTTTGCTGTGCAAATGCTTTTTAGTTTGATGCAATATCATTTGTCTATTTTTCCTTTTGTTGCCTATGCTTTTCAGTCATATCCAAAAAATCTTGGCCCAGACCAATGTCAAGAAGATTTTTCCCTGTGTTTTATTCTAGTAGCTTTCCAATTTCACGTTTCACAGTTAAGCGTTTACTTTGAGTTGATTTTTGTATATGGGGTGAGATAGGGTGCACTTTCACTCTTCCAAAAGTAAATATCCAGTTTCCCCAGTATCGTTTATTGAAGAGACTGTCCTTTCCCCATCGTGGATTCTTGGCACCTTTCTCAAAGATCAGCTGACTATAAATGCATGGATTTATTCTGGCCTTTCCATTCTGTTCCATTGGTCTATAATGTCTGTTTTTGTTCCAGTAATATTTAAGGTTGTTCTTATATTTTGTGAGAATCTTTTAGATGAAGGGAGCCAACAGAGATGCTATTTCAAAAATTATACTGGAATTTTGATAGTGTAATGATAAAAAGAAATTGACATTGGTGGGATTAAAATGGGGGAAAAAGCCATTTGTAAATCCAACCAATTTAAGTTCAGTTAGATTTTCTCTCATTCAGGTGTAGGCTTTAAATAATCATCTAAGCATATTTCACAATTTTTAGCAAACATAAAGAATTACATTTTTAGTGGACTCTGAATCAATTTTTATATCAAATTCCAGGAAAACATAACACTGTAAACTGACTTATATAACTCAGTAAAATCAAGTTTTAGTGTTATTGGCTAGTTTCAAACCCATTAGTTAATATACAAATTCTGTGTTTAGCCATAGATTAGTTAATATACAGGCTCTGGCCTGCCTTGCTAAGTTGGGGAAGTTCTCCTGGATAATATCCTGAAGAGTGTTTTCCAACTTGGTTTCATTCTTCCCGTCACTTTCAGATACACCAATCAGATGTAGATTTGGTCTTTTCATATAATCCCATATTTCTTGGAAGCTCTGTTCATTTATTTTTACTCTTTTTTCTCTAATCTTGCCTTCTTGCTTTATTTCATTGAGTTGATCTTCAATCTCTGATATCGTTTCTTCCACTTGATTGATTTGGCTAATGAAACTTGTGTATGTGGCTGGGCATGGTGGCTCATGCCTGTAATCCCAGCACTTTGGGAGGCCAAGGTGGGCAGATCACAAGGTCAGGAATTTGAGACCAGCCTGGCCAACATAATGAAACCCCGTCTCCATTTAAAATACAAAAAATTAGCCAGGTGTGGTGGTGGGCACCTGTAATCCCAGCTACTCGGGAGACTAAGGCAGGAGAATCGCTTGAACCTGGAAAGCAGAGGTTGCAGTGAGCCACGATCGTGCGGTTGCACTCCAGCCCGGGAGACAGTGAGAGACTCTGTCTCAAAACAAAACAAAACAAGAAACTTGTGTATGCTTCACGAAGTTCTCGTGCTGTGTTTTTCAGCTCCATCAGGTCGTTTATGTTTTTCTCTATGTTGGTTATTCTAGCTAGCATTTTGTCTAACCTTTTTTCAAGGTTCTTAGCTTCCTTACAATGGGTTAGAACATGCTCCTTTAGCTCAGAGAAGTTTATTATTGCCCACATACTGAAGCCTGCTTCTGTCTATTCATCAAACTCATTCTCCACCTAATTTTGTTACCTTGCTGGTGAGGAGTTGTGATCCCTTGGAGAAGAGGCATTCTTGTTTTTTGGAGATTTCAGCTCTTTTGCACTGGTTTCTTCCCATCTTTGTGGATTCATCTACCTTTGGTCTTTGAAGTTGGTGACCTTTGAATGGGGTCTCTGGGTGGACGTCCTTTCTGTTGATGTTGAAACTATTTCTTTCTGTTTATTAGTTTCCCTTCTAACGGTCAGGCCCCTTGGCAACAGGTCTGCTAGAGTTTGCTGGAGGTTCACTCCATACCCTGCTTGCCTGGGAATCACCAGGGGGAGCTGCCAAACAGCAAAGATTGCTGTCAGTTCCTTCCTCTGATAGCTTCATTTCAGAAGGGTACCTGCCAGATGCCAACCAGAGCTCCTCTGTATGAGGTGTCTGTTGGCCCCTACTGGGAGTTGTCTCCCAGTCAGGATACACAGGGTCAGGGAGCCACTTGAGGATGCAGTTTGTCCCTTGACAGAGCTCAAGTGCTGTGCTGGGAGATCTGTTGCTCCCTTCAGAGCTGCTGGGCAGGGATGTTTTAAGTCTGCTGAAGCTGAACCCACAGCTGCCCCTTTTCCCAGGTGCTCTGTCCCAGGAAAGTGGGGGCTTTATTTATAAGTCCCTGATGGGCTGCTGCCTTTTTTCAGAGATGCCCTGCCCAGCAAGAAGGGAAACAAGTGACAGTCTGCCTGAAGAGACCTTGCTGAGCTGCTGTGGGCTCTGCCCAGTTGCTGTGTAAACTTCCTGGTGACTTTGTTTACACAGTCGATGTTAAAACCACCCACCTGAGCCTCAGCAGTGACAGATGCCCCTCCCCCCACTGAGCTCATAGAAGGGCTTTTTGCATTCATAGGTGTTTTATTTGTTTGTTTTTGAGATGGTGTCTTGCTCTGTTGCCCAGGCTGGAATGCAGTGGCATGAACTTGACTCGCTACAACCTCCACCTCCTAGGTTCAAGCAATTCTCCTGCCTCAGCCTCCTGAGTAGTTAGGATTACAGGCACCCACCGCCACGCCCAGCTAATTTTTGTATTTCTAGTAGAGACGGGGTTTCACCATATTGGCTTGGCTGGTCTTGAATTCCTGACCTAGTGATCTGTTTACCTTGGCCTCCCAAAGTGCTGGGATTATAGACATGAGCCACCACACCTAACCAATTCATAGGTTTTTAAATTATGGATTCAATTTTGGAGCTTGGTATTGGTCTGGTCAGGGTTTCACTTTATTTTTGATTCAATCTTGGGAGGTTCTGTGTTTCCAGGAATTTATTCATTTTCTCTAGATCATCTAGTGTATATGAATAGAGGTGTTCATAATAGTCTCAGGACATTTTATATTTCTGGGAGATTGGTTGTAATGTCACCCTTGTCATTTCTGATTGTGCTTATTTGGATCTTCTTTTTGTTAATTTAGCTAGCAGTCTATTAATTTTGTTTGTCTTTTCAAAGAATCAATCTTTGGTTTCTTTGATTCTTTTTTTTTTTTTTTACTGCATTTTACTTCACATGGGGTACATGTGAAGAACATGTAAGATTGTTACATAGGTACACACATGGCAGTGTGGTTTGCTGCCTTCCTCCCCATCACCTATATCTGGCATTTCTCCCCATGTTATCCCTCCCCAACTCCCCCCCTCTGCTATCCCTCCCGTTTCCCCCCCCACAGACCCCAGTGTGTGATGCTCCCCTCCCTGTGTGGTTTCTTTGATTCTTTGTTTTGATTTAGGGGTCTCAATTTTGTTCCGTTTCCTCTGATTTTAGTTATTTTTTTTCTTCTGCTAGGTTTGGGGTTCTTGTTTTTCTAATTTCTCTAGGTGTGATATTTACATCGTTAATTTGAGATTTTAATAGCTTTTTGAAGTACACATTTAGCACTATAAACTTTCCTGTTACACTTCTTTTGCTGCATCTCAGAGATTTTTATGTTGTGTTTCTGTTTTCATTTATTTCAAATAATTTTTTTATTTCTGCCTTAATTTTGTCATTTACCCAAAAGTCATACAGGAGCAAGTTGCTTAATTTCCATGTAATTGTGTGGGTTTTAGAGATCTTCCTGGTATTGGTTTTTATTTTTATTCAACTGTGGTCCAAAAGAATGGTTGATATGATTTTGATTTTTTAAAATTTATTGGGGCTTGCTTCATGGTAGAACATGTGGTTGATTTTGGAATGTGTTTGGTGTGCAAATGAGAATAATGTGTGTTCTGTGGTTGTTGGGTGGAGTGTTCTTCAGGTTCCTATTAGGTCCAATTGGTCAAGTGTTGAATTTTAATGCAGAATTTCTTTGTTAGTTTTCTGTCTTAATGATCTGTGTAATGTTATCAGTGGGTGTTTAAGTTCCCTGACTATTGTTGTGTGGCTAAGTCTTTTCATAGGTCTAGAAGTATCTGTTTTATTAACCTGGGTGAGCCAATGTTGGGTGCATATATATTTAGGATAGTTAAGGCTTCTTGGTGAATTGAACTCCTTATCATTATGTAATGCCCTTCTTTGTCCTTTTTTACTATTGTTGGTTTAAAGCTTGTTTTATCTGTTTTACGAAGTGTAGCCCCTGTTCTTTTTTGTGTTTTGTTTGTATGATAGATCTTTCTTCAACCTTTTACTTTGAACCTATTGGTGTTGTTACATGTGAGATGGGTCTCTTAAAGACAGAAGACAGATGGGTTTTGTTTTTTTAATCCAACTTGCCACTCTGTGCCTTTTCAGTGGTGTGTTTAAAACATTTATATTCAAGGTTAATGTTGACATGTGAGCTTTTCACCCTATCGTGAAACTGTTTGCTGGTTGCTTTGTACTTTCTATTGTGCGGTTGTTTTATAGGGTCTGTGAGCTATGTACTTGTGTGTTTTTATGATAGCAAGTATCATTCTTTCATTTCCATGTTTAGAGCTCCCATAGGTATCTCTTGTAAGACTGGTCTAGTGGTAATGAATTTTCTTGGCATTTGCTTCTCTGGAAAAATGTTTTTATTTCTACTTCACTCAGGAAGCTTAGCTTGGCAGGATATGAATCTCTTCATTATAATTTATTTTATTTAAGAATTCTGAAAATAGACCCTCTAATCTCTTCTGGCTTGTAAGGCTTCTGCAGAGAAGTCTGCTGTTATCCTTATGGGGCTCCCTTTGTATGTGATCTGGCCTTTTTCTCTAGTACCTTCAGGATTTTTTCTTTGTCAGTGAACTTGGACAGTCTGGTAAGTACATGCCTTGGTAATGTTCATTTTTAATAGTATCTTGCAGGTGCTCTCTGGCTTTATTGTAGCTAGATGTCTACCTTTCTAACAAGATTGAAGAAATTTTCTTGAATTATTCTATCAAATATGTTTTCCAGGTTGTTCTCTTTTTTCTCCTTCTCTGAAGGGAATGCCAGTAATTCGTAGGGTTGGTCACTACATAATCTCATATTTCTTCACTTTTTAAAATCCTTTTTCCTTTATTTTTGTCTGACAGGATTAGCTTATAAGACCAGTCTGCAAGCTCTGAAATTATGTTTTCTACTTGGTCTAGTCTATTGATAAAGCTTTCAATTGTATTTTGAAATTCCTTAAGTGAGTTTTTTTTAATTTCAGAAGTTCTGATTGATTTCTTATTAAGATGTTTGTCTCTTCCCTCATTTCCTGGATTGATTTAGAAGTTTCTTTTTGTTGATTTCAACCTTGTATCTCATTGAGCTTCCTTGCAACCGATGCTTTGAATTCTTTATTATCATTTCTGAGTTTTCATTTTGGTAGAAAGCATCCAGAGAGCTAGTGTGGTCTTTTGGTGGTATCCCTACATTCAGATTTCTCATGGTGCCAGAATTCTTGCAGTGGTCCTTCTCGTCTGGAGATACTAGCATTTTTTCTTTTTCTTTCCTTTCCTATGATATTATTATTATTGTTGTTGTTTGTTTGTTCTCTTCTTTCTCTTTTCCTCCCCCCTAGGGGGGTGTGACTGTAGAGCGTGCTAGGTAGGGTCTTTTGGCTTTGCTTCTGTAGCCCTATGCACTTCTGTCAGCAGGTTTTATATATACCTACAAGCCAGTAGATGGTGCCAGAAGAGCTGGCTGTGGCCAGTGCTGCCGGCTGTATACTTGATCCTTGTCTATTAGGAGGAACTCTGTTGCCTCAGGCAATAGGCTGATTCCCGGAGTACACATTAATCTAAGCTCCCTCCTCAGCCCTAGGGGTAGAGGGGTTGTGGGGACAAGATGGGTGGAGCCAGATTAGGAAGGTCCCCCAAAGTTATCCTGCTTTCAGTCCAGATTTGGAAAAATGCCTGCAACTTTTTCCTATGTCTTTCCCTCACAATGTCTCCAAGTCTCTCCTCAAATTAGCCCCAGGACTTAGGAGAAATAGTGCTCTTCCTCTGCCTGGGTTGCTTGGATCCCCAGTGGAAAGGTAAGACAGAGGGATACTGTCTGCCTGTCTCACATACTGAGGCTTCACTCACTTTTATCAGTCGAATGCTGTCATGTGGGCTGTTTGCCTGCATTGTCCTCCCCAGGATCTGGGGTGTCCTTCATAATTCCAGGGAATTACCATTTTCTTTCTTGAATTAAAGCTCACAGAGTTGATCTTTATGTACTTGCTTGCTGTTTCCAAATGATTGAGGCATGCTAAAAGCCTGTAATCTGCCGTCTTGGAAAAAACATTCTTGCATTCTTAAGAGAAATGGCACTTGATATTGATATATGGTATTTCTACATTGCTGAATTCACTTTGAAAATATATGTACATTTTTAAATCTACATTTATATGTGAGACTGGTATAAAGTTATCTTTTCTTCTACTGTATTTGTGCAATTTTGGAATCAGTTATATTAGTCTACTAAATGAATTGGGAATTTTTCTTTTTAACTATTATCCAAAAAAGGTTATAAAAGACATGAATTATTGCTTTCTTACAGATTTAGTAAATACTTCATCATGTCCTTTTGTAGAGAGGCAGTGAGAAATATTTTTACTGTAAATGTAATTTGTGTATTTTTCACCTGTGAGGAGGAGGTTGCGGTGAGCCAAGATTGTGCCACTGTGCTCCAGCCTGGGTGACACAGCAAGACTCTGTCTCAAAAAAAAAAAAAAAAGAAAGAAAGAAAATCAACTTAAAATGAACTCCTTGAATATTTCTGAGTGTATTTTTTTTATATCTTGAACTAACTTTTCTTTTCTAGGAAGAACTGGAACAATGGTTTGTGCCTGTCTTATTGCTTCTGAAATATTTTTAACTGCAGAGGTATGAAAGATGTTACTACAAACTTTGTCTTATGATGATTGAGTTTGCTAGTTCTGAAATATCACTGGTAGGAATTTTAGTTATGGTGCTGAGTGAAATTGTAATTGGAAAAGCAGTTTTTAGAAAGTGTGTTTTTGATACTTTCTTGTTTAACATGCACTAGTTAGTAGATGACTTAAGAATCTCTTTGCCAGGACTAGAGTGAAGTCACTGAGGTGCAAAATTTAATGGAATGCTAACAATTCCAATAATTAAAATAAATAATTTTAGTGCAGTATTTTAACAGTAAAAATTAATGCACAAAATCTATGATATATACAATATCAACATTTTAAATAAAGACAAGACCTGATGGGGCTGGATGAAGGTGAGGGGAGTAAAGCTATATTACACAGATAACAAAAAACATTCAGTAACCAAGATGCTTCTCTCACCTCACCTGACCCTGCTTTTACTCCTACTGGTATCACACGTCTTCCTTCCTCCTGAGAATAATATCAAGCTTAATTAGATAAATTCTCCAAAGAGCCTTGACCATCCTCACAACTCTTAGATAGATAAAAGGCAACTGAAAACAAAGCCTCTCCTCAATGTAAATATCTTTGCTTAGTCAATACATGTGGAGTCTGACATCTAGAAATTTCTGATAAGACAAGGTGGGTTGTTTCTATTTAAAGCAGAGTTCTCAGTCATTTTTCTTTGTGCCATTTTCTTGCTGAAACACTACCATTTCCAGCAGCTCTGCTTAAGTTGTTTGGCCTACAGTCTAGGGAGGAAGTGGTGGTTATGCCCAATGCCCAGCACTCCAATTCCACCACCTTTGGTTTTTCTAATTTAAGACAACACATTTTGAAAATGGATGGTGTTTTCAAGCTATGGATCATGATTTATCAGCGAGTTGTAAAATAAAGTTACTCACGTCTTTTAAAAATAAAATGTAGTAAAGCAGAATAGAAAATATCAAAAAGTTTAAGTATTGGGGTGTGTGTGTGTGTGTGTGTGTGTGTGTGTATCTCCTAGGTTATTAATGTGATTTGCAGCTTAAAAAACAAAAGGTTTGAAAGTCATGGACAGTCATTGATCCAGAGCCCTAGACTTGTATTCCAGGCCTGGGCTGCCGCTAACTGGCTGCAGCATCTCATGGCAGATTGCTTGGTTTTCTTTTGGTCTTAGTGTTCTCATTTGTAATATGGAAAGAAGTGTTGGACCATATGATTTCTAAGGTCTTTCCAGCTCTAAAATTTTATGAATTTACGAATCCTTGAATGAGGGAAGTCCTTGATGTGGCTTTGTTAATTTTGTTATTTTGGGTAGCCTCTGCCCAAAGATCACTGTGCCAGGCACCGTGGCTCATGCCTGTAATCCCAGCACTTTGGGAGGCTGAGGCAGGCGGATCTCTTGAAGTCAGGAGTTCAAAAGCAGCCTGACCAACATGGCAAAACCCCTATCTCTACTAAAAATATAAAAAATTAGCTGGGCGTGGTGGTACACGCTTCTAGTCCCAGCTACTCAGGAGGCTGAGGCAGTAGAATCGCTTGAACCCAGGAGGCAGAGGTTGCAGTGAGCTGAGATCCTGCCACTGCACTCCAGCCTGGGTGACAGAGCAAGACTCCACCCAAAAAAAAAAAAAAAAAATCACTGACTTTAGGAAAGAAGGTGGCCATAGAAACACTAAGGGTACCTAATACAGGAAAGGAAAGAGTGCAGATGAACCATAGTTGCATTATACCCTTTTTTGTAGGAAAGCCTGTATTACTTTGGAGAAAGGCGAACAGATAAAACCAACAGCACTAAATTTCAGGGAGTAGAAACGCCTTCTCAGGTGAGTTTTCTTTTTAAAAGGGGGAGTTTTTCTGGGGGAGTGGGTTAAGATTGCCACCTGTTATCTGGTTTTATTTTAGACTCTCTTCTTTTGGTGATCAGGCAGCAGCAGTCGGGCACCCTGCACGGCCTTGGCCCTTCCCTGAGGCTGGGGGTCATGCTTCAGGAGCTGCCCTCGCGTTGGGGGCTCTGGCTTCTCCTCAGAGCACCCTGCTTTCTATTCCATACTGGTTATTGTTTACGGAGCTCAGGAATTGATTATTCTCCCAAAGCAGGAAGGTCCAGTACCTAAGGCTCCAGGACCCTGAAGTTTATCTAAAATCACCAGCCTTTGATTTCAATGTAAAAAATATGCAAGTCTTTCACAAACCCTTACTAGGCCAATTCAACCTTTGGAGAATATCACAAAGATTGTTTCTGGATAACTCCGCTTTGTATGCGTGTGCGTGTGTGTGTGTGTGTGTGTGTGTGTCTTTTCTGTGTGTTTTGGGGGAGGTGTATTTTAAAAGAGAAAGTAAAGGGGAAATCAACTTTCCAAAAACCCTTTTACATACCAGACAGTATTGCACTTTTACATATCTCATTTAATACCCATAACACCTATATAAAATATATGCTGTTACTTCATTTTTTTCTTTTAAAAACATTTTATTATGGAAAATTTTAATGATATACAGAAGTCCAGAGAATCATACAATGTATCTCTATATAGCCATGACATTGCGGCAACAGTCATTTCAGCCTGCAGCCAGCAACGTTTCATCCATTCTTTTCCCACTCCGCTCACACCCCCAACCCCACTCTCCACTCTTGCTTTCCCTAAACCTGGGTTATTTTAAAGGAAATTTCAGTCGTCAGATCATTTTATCCCACAAGTATTTTAGTAAGACATTTAAGTACTCTTAACCACCAAAAACCCTTAATACTTTTTAATCATATCTAAAAATATTACACCTTAAAAATCCTTAATATCAAATTTGTAGTCCATGTTTGTTTCCAAAACTGTCTTAAAATCTTTGAAAATTTAGTTTGTTTCAATCAGAAAATTCAAACAAGGTCCACACATTTCACTTGGTTTCTGTGTCTCCTACGTCTCTTTTAAGAATCTAAGTTCATAGATTTCTCACCATTTTTTATTACTTGTACTTTGATTATTGCAGAAGCCAGGATGTTCATTCTATAGCATTTATAACATTCTAGACTTTGCTGAACTATTCTAGGAGTTACACATTCACTATCTTATTTAATATTCTCAGTAACTTTATGAGTAGGCACTACTATGATGCTCATCTTATACATTAGAAAACTGAGGTCCAGAGAAAGTAACTTTTGGACTAAGGATTGAAATCTAGATGTCAGACTCTGAAGCCCATGCTATGCACAGCTTCTCATTTTTATTGTCTTTCTATATTGCCCCTCAAACTGAAGTGAGACTGGGTTGGAAATTCTTAAACAGATTTGGATATGGCTGTAAATGAGTTTTTCTTTAAGTGGTAGGAGCTGAGTAAGTACTCTTGGCCCTGTTAGAACACTGTAACTACTGATCCTCAGCCTTTAGTTTTGGCCAAAAGAACTCAGCCTTATCCATTGATACTTTTTTCCCACACCTAAGCCAAAAACAAAACAAAACAAAGATAGTCATAGATCTAAGCTAAAAGTAATAGGTGAATTTACTGAAGTGCAGCCCTAATCATGCCATTTCCGTGCTTAAAATCCATACTATGTCCCTGCTGCCAACAGCAATAAACTGAATGTTTCAACCTGGCACTCAAGAGCCACAGTTTGACTTTTCTGCTATGTGCATGCACACATCCCACGCTTGAACGCATTTCGACTGTGTGCTGTTTCCCAGCCTGTGGACACTTGATACTCTCGTGCCATTGCTCATGCCCCTTTTCCTGGAGTCTCCTTCCCCTCTCAGCCTGAAGTAGTCTCTTGCTTTTTCAGTTCTTAAAGCCTTTTGTGTTTCTCTTCAGGACTACGTCACTGCATTATTCTCTAGCTATTTGGAGTGGTGACTTCTGTATCCCCTTTAAAGGCAAGGCCCATGGCTTACCCATCTTTCCCCACTTTTCTCACAGTATCTTCTTTGTTTTTAGTGAGTGCCCCCTATGGGTTGGTTGTATTAATTTCTACTATAAGTTCATTTTGTTTTAAGTTATAGGGGAAGGAAGCATGGGAGCAAAAGAAATTTAGGGGAAGGTTGAGAATCTGGTGGCAGGAGCCAAGGGGATGCTAGATGGAGCGCCTTCAACAGCTCTACCCACGCATCTCCCCGTCCCCAGTTCTTTTACACTTGTGCATAGGTTCCCTAACTTTAGTCCAGAACTAGCACACCAAAGGCTGCAACTGAATCTCTTCCGATTCACTGAGAAAGTAACACAGGGACCCAGCTGCAGGTTTGAGAGCTGTGTTGGCAAGACGTCAGGAGAGAGTGCCCTCTGTATCTGGTGGGGATTCTCAGACACTGTCACGTTCTGACCCTGCATTGTGGGCCATTCTGCTGACTACATCTACTCCTAAGTTAAGAACTTTCATGAGCCTTCCTCATGGCTGGCCCTTTCTAAAGGAAAGTATGGCAGTTCGTTACTTTAGTGAACATTTCCCAGTGGATAAGGAACAGTCTGTGAACCTGAGTCCTTTTTTTTTTTTTTTTTTGATACAGAGTCTCACTTTGTCACCCAGACTGGAGTTTGTCTTGGTGGAGGTGTCTCCATATCATATCATTTTCTCACCTTCTTTCAGTGGTGCAATCTCAGCTCACTGCAACCTCAACCTCTTGGGTTCAAGCGATTCTCCTGCCTCAGCTTCCTGAGTAGCTGGGATTACAGGTGCCCACCACCACGCATGGCTAATTTTTATTTTTAGTAGAGACAGGGTCACCCTGTTGGTCAGGCTGGTCTCAAACTCCTGACCTCAAGTGATCCACCCACCTTGGCCTCCCAAAGTGCTGGGATTACAGGCATGAGCCACTGCACCCGGCAGACTTTTGAATTTTGAAAAAGTTGATTCAGTACCAAAGTTCTTCAACAACTTTGAGAAAAATTCAAGGGGAGCCATTGTGAACAGCTTACCCCAGGGAAAGGACAAGGGTGAGAGAATTCCAGGGCTTCCTCGTGAAAGCAGAACTTGGGAAATGGAAAGTGAAGAAATTCTAGCTGTCAGAAATGAGAAGAATGACATGAAATCTGCTGCTGAGGTAGGGAGGTATTCCTCTTGAGTTTTCACATATACCATTCTCTCATGCCAGGAAACTGCTCTTCACCAAACCACGAACCTTCCTCTAACTCAGTCACAACTAAGCTTCTATCTGCGCACTGATGATGATGGAACTGTTTTGTTGTTGGTTCTGATTAGTTGCCCTCTCAACTATAAGCAGCCTGTAAACTAGACCTGGCTTCACCCTTGTTACTTCCCTATAGCATTTAATTCAGTATTTTTCCTCCAAGGTATATAGTTGTGAGGCAATATCCCTACAAGCGTCTAGTTATATAATGGCATCAGTAAACATTTCCTTAATTACTTACTCCCCTTAATAAGCTTTATGCAAAAAAAAAAAAAAAAAGGAATGTTGACTTTAGACTTTTCATCTCCACTTAAAGTGAGATGTCTGTTGCTTTTCAGAATAGATATGTTGGATATTTTGCACAAGTGAAACACCACTACAACTGGAATCTCCCTCCAGTAAGGATACTCTTTATAAAAAGATTCATTATTTATTCGATCCATGGTAAGCACTTTATGTATAATTGAAGAATTGGGCAGGAGGGCCAATGTTCCCGCCCTGGGAGGGTTTTGCTCATAGCTATGTATACAGATGATCCTAGCTCATACCTGTCTTTGAAGTCTTGCTCTGTCGACCAGGCTGGAGTGCCAGTGGTGCGATCTCGGCTCACTGCAGCCTCTGCCTCAGCCTCCTGGGTAGCTGGGATTACAGGCACATGCCACCCTGACCGACTAATTTTTGTATTTTTAGTACAGACAGGGTTTCACCATGTTGGCCAGGCTGGTCTCAAACTCCTGACCTCAGCTAATCTGCCCACCTCGGCCTCCCAAAGTGCTAGGATTACAGGTGTGAGCCACCACACCTGGCTATACCTGTCTTTTTATGTATCCTCACGCATGAACTTTTCCTTACGTATGCTCCTCCTCCTGCAATTGCCCATTGATTGCGAGCCCTTAGATGCTCTTTACTTTTTCTTTTCCATCACCAATTTGGGGGGACTTCATCCCCTTCCCATCTCTCCTGTTCTCATTGCTCCTGTGGTCTCAACGTCAGGTGGACTTTTCAGGGCAGAGTGAGCCTCTGAGGAGGGAGGAGGGGGACCCATGTGGCCTCAAGACTTATTTCTCATAACCACCTCTAGTTCAGAGTTTGTCTTGGCGGAGGTGTCTCCATATCATATCATTTTCTCACCTTTTTTCAGAGGCATATTTTTTTCTCATCACCCTGGGCTCTTCCTTTCCCCTCTGTCCTCCATCTGTAACCCTCTCACTCCCAGCTTTCACTCAGGGAAGGTGGGAAAGCAGGATCAGTCTGTGTGGAGGGGATGGGGCCTCACCACTCCCACTGCCAGAGAGGTAGCAGGGAGGTGATGCTTCTGAACCCCTAAAGCAAACCTCATATCGCCAGCTTGTGGTCACCTGAGGTGGCGCAAGTGTTGGGTGTTGTGGATGCCATGGTGCCAGGATACTGGTGTCCACACAGACATTTTTAGTCTTCTGAGTTTAGTTCCACATTTCTAGCCTTCTGAGTTTAGTTCTACATTTCACTGATTTCTGGTAGACATCAATAGAAATTCTGCATCTGGAATGGGAAAGAGGGAACTGAGACAAGAAACTGCGAATTCTAATGACAAATAAATATCATGGTGTCTGTGAAAACAAAATTAAATGAAAAGAAAAAAGCAGTATATGAGATGAGCAATCAAGAATAATTAATACACTTATTTATTAAAATGTTTGTTTTAATTCTCTACCTTTAGTTTTGTGCATATTTAAATTAAAATTAATATAGAGTTGAGAGGAAAGCAATAAAAAATTAATTGGCTGAGAAACCAAGTCTTTGAGGAAATGTTAAAGGAATTGGGTCATTTCAGTTGAAAAAAAAGGGGCAGAAGAGCCTTTGTCTGTAAATAGATACTGAACGCCATGGGAATTTTTGGATGTAACTATCCTATATTTTTGTGGAGATTGCATCAGGAACTGGCCTTAAAGTAGGGCCAAAGTAGTTTAGACTACAGTATTTATTATTAAGAATCATTATGATTAGAAGTCTGAAGAAAGCAACACATTAGCAAGAAAGGTTGCAAATCACCTTTTCTAAATTTTTTTTTTTTTTTTTTGAGACAGCGTCTCACTCTCTTGCCCAGGCTGGAGTGCAGTGGTGTGATCTCAGCTCACTGCAACCGCTGCCTCCCAGGTTCAAGCAATTCTCCTGTCTCAGCCTCCTCCTGAGCAGCTGGAATAACAGGTATGTGCCAGCATGCCCAGCTATTTTTTGTATTTTTAGTAGAGATGGAGTTTCACCATGTTGGCCAGGCTGGTCTCAAACTCCTGACCTCAAGTAATCCACCCACCTCTGCCTCCCAAAGTGCTGGGATTAGAGGCATGAGCCACCATGTCTGGTCCACCTTCCCTAAATATTTTTTTCTGGAAAGATGAAGTGATGGGATTCTAAGTCTTTGAAGCTGATTGTGTGTGTGTGTATGTTTTTTTTTTTTTTTTTCATTTTTTTAAATCCCCTGTCTTATAAAATCTGCTTTAGGAGACAGAACTGGGCTTGAAGACTTGTCTTTCAAAGACAAAATCCATGCAAGACCAAATAAGTAGCTGCTGATACATTGTTAACTTGGATAATTTTTTCTCTTTTAAATCCATGATGTTAATTGATGAGACATTTTGATCTTTGTGCTAACCAACCTAACTTTTAAATTTTATTTAGGTATTGGATCAGGCGATGAAAATGATCTAAAACTCCAAATTGTAATGGAGAAAAGGGTTGTCTTTTCCTGTACTTCTTTAAAAAATTGTGTGGTAAGAGAAAACATGTGAATTGAAAAAATCTGATGTTTGTTTTAAGGCTGAATGTCAAACCAGCAATGTTCACCTCCCTAAACTATCACTCACCGTAAAGAGATTCCATAATGCTTTCTGGTTACTATCCAGGTTGGTGTCACTGGATTTGGATGCAGACCAGAGCTAAATTAACCTGTTTGTTCAAAACAGTTTTTTCAGGCCACTTTCCAGAATTTATTTCTGTTCAGCGTTGCTTTGTCTTTCACTTTTCCACAAACGCTGAGCATGTTCCCAGGAATGTATTAAAGATTTTAATTTACATATCTGGTCGTTTTTAGCCATATTCTTTTCTTCTTGGTCATTTTATCTTTTATTATAGAGCAGTGATTCTAAAATTTTAGTGTACATGAAAACCCCCGAGGAGCTTGTAAAGGTTTACATTCCTAGTTTGTACCCCCAATATATGATTTGGGAGATCTGGAATGGGGCCCAGGAATCGATAGACTTAGCAATGTCCCAAGTGATTCTAAGTCAGAGGTTCTGTGGGATAACCCTATCAGAAACAGTGCAAGAGTGGAGGAACTGGGGAGGAATCTCTTTATTCACAGCACAAGGACCTTGTAGTCAAAATTTTGCTACAAGGAAGAAATGCCTAAAACTATAAACCTTTTATGAAACAGTAAGAAAGCTTCCTTCATGGGTCTAATAACCATAAACTTAGAATTCCTACTCAGGCCTTTGCCTCAAATTCTCTTATTACTAATCCTATTCCTCCCCTCTCTGCATCCCCCCACCCCTTTTTTTTTGGCCTCTCCCAACTGAGAGCATTCACCTAGGCCTGACCCTTGGCTTTCTGTTCTTAGCAAATGCTTTATTCTTGGTTAAGGAATGACCCATCCCCTTTAGCTAAACTATTATTTATTAATTTATATAACAGATATTTATGAGCACCCACTGAGTTGTAGATGTAGGAGCTACAACATGAACAGTCTCCACTCCAACTGAAATGCATTAGCCAGTCTGAATTATCAATGAGCTTTCTCTCTGCTTCTGCAAATGGCACCAGCTTTCTCCCACTTAGGCTTTGGGCTTTGATTCTCTTTGCCTCGGTCCCCTAAATCCAGTTAGTTATCAATCCCTGTTGATTATGCCTTTGAAATTTCTCTGTGCTCTCCTGCCTTTCTGTTCTCACTGCCACTAACTGTCCAGAACCTCATTTGCTCATGCCTAGATTTCTACAATGGTTATCTTACCTTTTCTTTCTCCTTATGTAATGGAATGTATAGAATCCTGAAGTATGCATCCTGAAATATGCCTTTCATTGTGAAAAGTTATAGGTAGAGCAGAAGACACACTGTTAACCAGTTAACACCTTTGGCTCAACATCCTTATCTGTAAAATAAATATCACGTCTCAAGTGTTGTGAGAATTAAATAATATATACATATATATATAAAGTTTCTTTGTAAACTATAAATCACTAAATAAGTGTTACATGTGATAATTATCAGGCCTCTTTGTCGCATAGGAAATACCCCACCATATTCTTCAGCAACCCCCCGCGTATGCCTTGGCTCTTGAGCTCTTAAGATATCATAGCCCTAACGTAATACCCGAGCTTACAGACTTCACTCCAAATAAACTGGGTCATCCCCTTTGGCTCTTGGAACACAACTCTAATTTCGTTCGTTAGTTAGTTGGTTCTTTCTTTCTTTCCCTTTTTTTTTTGCCTTGGGTCAGGGTCTCATTCTGTCACCCAGGCTGTAGCTCAGCGGCATGGTCATGGCTCACCACAGCCTCCACCTCCCGAGCTCAAGCAATCCCCCAATTTGTTTATTGTTTGTAGAGACTGGGTCTTGCTGTATTACCTAGGCTGGTCTCAAACCACCTTTCCACCTCAGCCTCACAACGTGCTGGGATTATAGGCATGAACCACATGGCCTGATCTTTTTTGTTGTTGTTTTTCTAATTTCCTTTTTTTTTTTTTTTTTTTTTTTGAGGTTGAGTTTGGCTCTCATTGCCCAGGCTGGAGTGCAATGGTGAGATCTTGGCTAACTGCAACCTCTGCCTCCCAGGTTCAAGCGATTCTCTTGCCTCAGCCTCCCGAGTAGCTGGGATTACAGGCGTGCACCACCACACCTGGCTAATTTTGTATTTTTAGTAAAAAAGGGATTTCTCCATGTTGGTCAGGCTGGTCTTGAACTCCTGACCTCAGGTGATCCGCTCACCTTGGCCTCCCAAAGTGCTGGGATTACAGGCATGAGCCACTGCACCCGCCTATTTTTCTAATTTCTACTTTGTGTTATTGCTGGTCTTTTTCCCTCTGAATGGGCTAGATTCTATTTTCAGAGCTTTTCTTCCTTTATCTAAACTGTTTCATGCCCAATTGAGTTTCTACCTCCTCAATGAAATTTTCGCATTCTGCACCTCCTTTTAACCAGCCCCCAATAGTGCATAAGAACACACCCATCCTTCATCACACAGGTTGAGTTATATACCATTCTACTATTTTTTCTTGTATGTACAGCTTCCTTAAGGAACCAACTGAGTCTGTACCTCCTTTTGTGTTTCTCACAGGGCCTAGCATAGACTTTTCTTATTGTGGGTGCCATTATTTATATGAGAGTAAGCCAAAGAAATAGTATAGCTTCAAAGTAATTCATTACAAAACTTGACCTATCTTTGGTCACTCCATCCAGCAGCCTGCAGTGGTCAAGTCCAAAGATCCCATTGACAAACACAAGAGTTCTGATAAAACATCAAGTGTTATAGACTCCCGTTGTTATTTTTTAAATTTAGAAAATAAAAAACCATTAAGCATTACTTTTTGAATGTCAGTGCTAGCTTTAAAATTGAGCTTCTTACTGTATTCTCAAAAGAGGCCCTAATGCATGAAGACCAAATGACACACATTAAATAATATTTAATTGATTAAAGTCTAATAGAAAATTCAATACTTTTTAAAAGTGAGGCACTTTAAAAAAGTAAGGCCCTTTTAGTAGAGACGGCCAACCCCGTCTCTACTAAAAATACAAAAATTAGCTGGGTGTGGTGGTGTACGCTTGTAGTCCCAGCTTCTTAGGAGGCTGAGGTAGGAGAATCACTTGAACCTGGGAGGCAGAGGTTGCAGTGAGCAGAGATCACACCAGTACAGCCTGGCAACAGAGCAAGACTCCATCTCAAAAAAAGAAGAAAAAGAAAAGTGCCTCATGATAACCCTCAAACATGTTGGACTTTTAAAAATGTAAACAACAGGCAGGACATGGTGGCTCATGCCTGTAATCCCAGCACTTTGGGAGGCCCAGGTGGGCAGATCCCTTGAGGCCAGGAGTTCAAGACCAGCCTGTCTAATATAGTGAAACTCCATCTCTACTAAAAATACAAAAATTAGCTGGGTGTGGTGGCATGCACCTATAGTCCCAGCTACTCGGGAGGCTGAGGCACAAGAATCACTTGAATCTGGGAGTCAGAGGTTGCAGTGAGTTGAGACCATGCCACTGCACTTCAGCCTGGGTGACAGTGAGACTCTGTCTCAAAAAAAAAACAAAAAAAATACACACACACACATATAAACAATAGTACTGCAACTAGAAAAGATTATTCATAATTATTTACATATGTAGTGATTGGTATATGGACCAAAAGTACTTGATAAATATAGGGAGCCATGATAAATGAAAAGGAAGTTCATTGTTATCATTAGTTAGGTTTATAGTTCTAAATTCCATGTGTTAATTCCCAGGTAATTCATGACGCTGAAACAGACAGAGTAATAATTGATATATTTAACTGTCCACCTCTGTATCATGACGTGAAAGTGCGGTTTTTCTCTTCGGTGAGTAATCAAGAAACAGCCTCTGCCATTGTTCTTGTCTGGTTGAATGATTTTATTTAAGATTTGCTTTACTACAATTCCCAACAAGGGAGATGATAGATGTCATCTCATAGAGGGAGGGGGAGAAAAACAGTAAATCAGCTCTATAACAAAATTTTTTAAAAGAACATATGTAATTTGAATAATTTTGTTCATTTGTTTTTTCTAAATTGTAAATTTTCTAAATTTTTCTAAATTCACATGTATTAATTCTCATACAAAAAATACAAAATAAACACACAAAAAATGTAAAAGCCAAGGTGCTAAAAAACCAAAGGTATGTTTTACTGCGTAGCAATGATTACATCTTGTTTTGCATTTTTTTTTTTTTTAATTAAAAAATTGAGGCCGGGCCTGGTGGCTCATGCTTATAATCTCAGCACTTTGGGAGGCTGAAGCGGGTGGATCTTGAGGCCAGGAGTTCAAGACCATCCTGACCAAAATGGTGAAATTCCATCTCTACTAAAAATACAAAAATTACCTAGGCATGATGGTGCATGCCGGTAGTCCCAGCTATTCGGGAGGCTGAGGCAGGAGAATCACTTGAACCTGGGAGGCAGAGAGCCAAAATCACACCACTGCACTCCAGCCTGGCAAGAGAGTGAGACTCCATCTAAAATTAAAAAATTGAGACAGGGTCACACTCTGTCACCCAGGCTGCAGTGCAGTGGTGTGATCATAGCTAACTGCCGCTTCAGCCTCCAGAGCTCAAGCAATCCTCCCACTTCAGCCTCCCAAGTAGCTGGGAGCATCTACTGGAAAAAGAGTTAGGTTTGGGTGACTCAGCTGGGTGAAACACAAAGAAGGTGGCACAATACAACACATGAAATAGCCAAAGCAGTCTGTTATTAATTCCAGAGAGAAGAGGGCAGCACACTTTGCAGAGCCAACTGTACGGGGGAGCCATCCAGGGGACCTGTGCTCGACTGATGGGTGGAGAGCAATAGCAAGAGAGAGGGAGGGACCTGAGAGTGGAAGCCTTTATTGGGATGTAAGGCACTACCTGAGAAGGTTTCCTGCAGGGAGGTCTAATTTGGTTTAATGCAAGCAGGCATGTGTTCCATGAAGTCATGCTATGACTGAGAGGTGGTCACTGATATATCCACACAGTCCATGCAGAGTATGGGGAACTGTGGGGTGAGTCAAGCATGTTATATCTAGCTGTCCCATAATGAAGTAGTCGCCAGGAGAAGGTTGTATAAGGCAGATATTGGGATCAGTCACATTGAGAAACTGGGAGGAGGTAAACTGGAAACTGCTGAGGGTAACTGAACCCCACTTCTGATATCAGAAAGTCAAGTTTATATTTAAAAGGGATGCTGGGGTAACAGCAACAAAAAAATTGTAAGAATTCACTACAATATACTTGGGTATACATAGGCATAGGTCCTTAGTAGATTCTGTTTAGCACTATCTAAACAGAATTTAAATCCGCATTTAAATTAAATATCTATCATGGAAAAAATACTATTCCTTGAAAATTTTGATAGAAACAGCAAGAGAAAGCAATGGCATTTTCATAAAGCCTCCTCCTTTATGTCTAGATTGTGTTGTCGTAGACTGCAGAGTACTGCATATTTAATAGTTATAACTGTCTCATAAATATATAAAGGATTAAAGGAAAGAAATTTATTTCTTCGGAATGATTAGTTCTTGGTATCAGTTTTACTTTCAAAATAATTTATTTTCTTTTTAGGTGCTTCCTAAATACTATGACAATTGTCCTTTTTTCTTCTGGTTTCACACATCTTTTATACAAGATAACAGGTATGGATATAATATAAACCCATAGAAACAGCCTGATCTTCAGTGTCTAAGGGGTAATGGCAATTCTTTTGCTGGTTGTCATAAACTTAATTTATAGGAAGCAAAAACTCCTCGAGCCACCTTACTCCCCTTACTTTGGTTATTTAAAAAATACATTTGTGGCCGGGCGCGGTGGCTCAAGCCTGTAATCCCAGCACTGTGGGAGGCCGAGGCGGGTGGATCACGAGGTCAAGAGATCGAGACCATCCCGGTCAACATGG